CTACTTAGTTAAATCTTGGTCTGGATTGTATATTTTATTATCCTTTATTTTGTGATATTGACGATTTAGGTAATTTTAGTAAATTTTAAATTAATATTGTTATTTTTTTGCCATTTTGTAAGCTTTGTCCATAAAATTGCACAATTTTCAGTGACAATAAAGCATATTTTTATTATATTCAATATCTTCTACCATCGGGTAGAATAAAAACAAATATATTCATAAAGAACTGAAAACAAACTTAGCATATATGAAAATTAGACATGAATGTCAAAACTGTCTATCCAGTTTATTGCCTCTGGTGCTGCTCCAAGGACGTCCCGCCATGGATCTGGAATGTTCGTAGAGGACATTCAAAGGTAATGTATTGTATGGTTTGTCTTGGATCACAATCTGAATACCTAGTTTCCCCACTTCTCTAAAATATCAGCACATCTACCACACCCAGACCTGCTTCTATTTAGTGTCATCCATATTTTGCGATTCAAATAAAAACCTGGGACAAGCTGATCAGGATGAAGTACCCTATGAATATATAATTCTATGCTTTTTTTTCATCTTTTCTTCTAATACCCTAGTCTTAATCGAGACCACTATGCATTACAATTTCTAACGAATGTAAACTGAAAAAATAAAGATGACCATTGACCATCATCAATTGCCATCACTTGCTGGAGAAATAATAAGTGTATCAAATAACCACATACAATATATCTTTAAAATACGGAATATTTTACGGTGGAGAAGGCAAAGTAGACTAATACGGAACCAGAATATTACATGAATGGATATTTAGAGACTAGTTCAACAAATATCAAGCGATTTAAGACCAAACGGCGCCAGACGATCAGGAAAACCCTTCAAAAGCAGACGAGATAGCTGGAAGTCAGTATCACAAATGCGATTATAGCCTTAAAATCGGACAAGGCCTAATAAAAAAAAACAGAATCTAGTTTACGTCCAAATGGATTTCTTGCCAATTACCTCCACTCTAAATATTAAATGTTTGATTACAATGTGTTAAAATTGTTGATAATTAATACATTATTCCGGTAAAACTTGAAATAAATTGTTTGGATACTACAACGAAAAGAAAAGTCACTTAAGTCATTATACCAAACAGTTTACACATACTTATAGACAATATTTAGCAACATCTGCATTTTTTCTATCGTAAAGCGAGGGAGTGGAGATATTTTAATTGCGTGTTCTTAAGTACCATTTTATAGTTCAATAAAAGAAGAAAATACCGTTAGGAATTAATAGGAATTACATAAAGGTAATATTGTTCTTTAATCAAATTACAACTGTGTAGGTGTTTAAGATAGATGATTTAGGAAAAAATAATGGTAATAAATGTGAGAAATAGTTATTGTTATATATAATTTTATATTACGATTTTAAATAATATATAAGTGTGTTGTATATGAAAGAATTCGTAATGTACCTATATTAATAGACAGAAAGTGGACACCTAGACTAAAATGCTACTCATGCATCAAAGAAGGTTAAGCGAGCAAAAGAGGCCTGGATGGAATAGAGATGTCGTGAGCTGAAAGAAATAAAAAGAAAACATGATGAGTTTAATAATCCTACACCAAAAACTTGAAGAAATTACTTACACTCAGAGAAAAAGAACTCCTCACTTTATAAGAAACTCCAAAGGGAAAATTATTCTTGACTTAAACGAAAAAAGGAAGAATGGAGCAACTACATGAGACCATTACTTAACACCACAAAGATATCAAACAAAAGAAAAATGGGAAATGTCCAGGCCCTGATCAAATACCATCAGATTGGCTCAAACTTCTAGACGACGAAAATATCTCACAACTAACAAACATTTATAACCACATCTACGAAAATGGAACACTGCCACAAATATGGTTGGAGTCTACCTCCAAAAAAATGTAATACATCATCATGTACTTCTTAGGATAATTATTATTAGAATCAAGCAGAAATGTGGAGACACAATGGGAAATAAACAATTCGGTTTCAGATAAGTATTGGGAACAAGGGAAGCTTTATTCTCTCTACTTCAACGATCATGGGAAGTACAGAAACCATAGTTTGTTCATAGTTTTCAACATGGTAGGCTGTTTGAATATCTAGAAATGAGTGGAATAGATAATAAAGATCTGAGACTTTTACAACAATTATATTGGAATCAAGAAGCTTATATTCTGGTAGACGGCAAAGAAACAGACAAAATTTGTATCCAAAGAGGTGGTAGACAGGGTTGTGTGTTGTCCAAAACTTTGTTTAACGTTTATTTGGAAATAATTTTTAACGAAGCCTTGGAAGGATCATGTGGAGTTGGAATCGGGGGAGAAACTGTTAACTACATCAGATATGCAGATGACACTGCGATTATGGCCGAAAGTATCGAAGATCTTTGGCTTTGAGAAGCATCAAAGAATGCATTGAAAAAAAAAATTGTTAAAAGTCATTGCATAATGATAGGCATAAATGTTCCATAGGAAAGCAATAATAGATCTCTGCAAATCACTTCAAAAAATACTTCGCAAATCCAATAAAATACACCAAGTGCTTATGTATTAATACATATGAAGTCCTCATCGACGAATATTGTTAAATTACTCGAATAATCAGCAGAAGTGGCGTATATTCTGACAATTTCGGATGTGCCACGCCCAACCAAGCCCATGCGGTCATTTGAACGATGATATATTTCTTTCAAAATGGTATCGAGAGGCTTTTCAAAGTAATAATAAATTTTGATGATTATTCACACACACTTTGTTGTAATTAAATTGTTGTTATTATAAAAATATGAAAAATATGAAAGGCTAAATTAAAAAGCTAAAAACTAAACTACGCTAAAAAAACCCTATATTTTCGATAAAAATATTCATCAATTCTTGGAAAGCAGGAACTCTTACAATTATTATGAACATTCACCACGTCATAGATAGTCCCTTATCGTTTCACACTTCACATATGATGGATTATTTACTGCCGAGATATGGCGAGATATGGCATTTCTAAATTAATCTAGTAAAGTATTGTCAATACCGTACTGTTTTTGAGATATTTTAATATCTTTTCTATTAGATTTCTCCAGTCTTTTAAATCCAACCTACATCAATGTACAAAATATACAATAACATTTGAAATGAGTTTTGGGTAAATAAAAATAGTTTTTGTTATATATTCAAATCAACTGTACAAAATAACGAAAGAACTGAAACTAAACTCATACCATGAGCAAGTTCATCTTTTAATTATTAGTAAAACCTTTTTTATTGTGTCTACCGATTCATTTCACATAAATATCACTTTCAGGCCATGTAACCGAGAGAAAACCGCAAATACTTCTCGGTTTTTGAAACACTTGATTAATCTTGACACCTCGACAAAGCCTGGTTAAACAGCAAATTTTATTTTATTTTATAAACTTCTCTTAAAAGTAAATTATAAAGAATATCGTGTTAAATAAACTGGTGTCTGTACGGTTATTTTTTTATAACACATAAATAGAAGAGTTTAAAAATCAAGTAATAAGTATCAAATGAAGTATCATCATTCATCTTGAAATATAGTAAATAAACAGTTTGGCATACTTCACATGATATTTTCTATATTTTGGAACAACTATTACATTTTTCCGCAGAGCACATTGCTGTATCTAATATGTTGCTAAAACGTTTTGATATCTTCTAATGTGTTGAGTAAAGATGGGTTTTATTTCTCCTTTAAGTACTTGCAACGGATGAATATATATCCATTACATTATTCGGGATGCCTCGCACTCTTCAACATCCCATTATTGCTTCCCCAACGATGTGCAAAAAAGAAGGTCCAATAGAATCTCCATAGCTGCTGTTGGTGTTCTTGTCAGAGCCCATTTAATTCCAAGAATATCTGGGCATCTAACTTAATTTGTTGTACTTCTTTGCTGTATCTTTTACTACCATACCAATGATGCACATGGTATTGCTGATTTTGCAAAACACCTAGTATTACCTGTTGGTTTTCCAGTACGTACTCAATCCTCTTAAAAAGAGCAGTACCATTTTTTGAGAGAACCATCATCAGTTGGCGCTAAAGCGTTTTGTGACCTCTGGCCTGCCTGAAAACAATCTTTCATCCTCAAAACACTCTTCCATCCTTCTCTGTGGAATTTTTGTCTTCTCTTTCCCCTTACATCAATCTACCATCGTCCAGATATTTAAATTTGGTAACCTTCTTCTTCTTCTTCCGAAAGTCCTCTTATTTTCTTAATTTTTTGAGACAATCCTGCTCTATATTCCTAATGAGAATATCGAGCAATTATTTTAGAGTCTTTATTACAAATGATAGCTGATTTATAGGTCACAGAGAGATCTATAAGTCTGATATGTGTAGCTTTTTCTTATCCAATTTAGGTATAGGTGTAGGTTTATCTTCTATTTTGGTCCAGTTGCTCTCATTTTTTCTGAAAAGCACTTTGCAATTCCTGAACTATTCTTGAAAGAGTTTGATGTCTTCTATCGTGCTGAGTAAAGATTTATTTCCCCTTTAGCTACTTAAATCCAAAAAGTACCTGAATTATTTTAAGTTATAAATTTTAGTAATATCTTAACTTACAGCAGTATCTCGTAGCTAGGAGCATCCCAATCTTACTTACTACATGGGGATTATTGCTTTCTTTATTATTCATGTTAGCATTTCGTGACATATATGATACTTAAATCAAAATTATTTGAGATGGAAGCTGTGCAATTGATTATTCTAATATAATCATCATTTAGATAAACAATTTAAATATAGATTGTTACTTTACCTGTGTTACTGTTCATATTGTGTTCTTACTGTTTGATCCACATTAATTAAGTCATTAAATCATTGTTATAATTCGCGAATAATTAACAGCTAACAAATTACTATAAAACGTTTATTTACTTGTATTTGTTCTATACTAAAAATTTGTATGATACATGATAGATAGAACTGATGTCATTTATTGTATATTTACATTACATTATTTGTTTTAGGCGAAATAACTACCAAAGATCCCTTAGATCGAGAACAAAAACAATCCCACGACTTAGTGGTAGAAGCCAGAGACCAAGGCGTTCCTTCACGAAGCTCCCGAGTTGTAGTTGTCATCTCAGTGCTAGACGTGAATGACAATGCTCCCGAAATAGTTGACCCCCAAGAAGACGTTATCAGTGTTCGAGAAGAACAACCTCCTGGTACCGAAGTCGTACGTGTTAGAGCAGTAGACATCGACAATGGACCAAACGCTACAATAACCTACTCGGTGGTTAAGAATAGGGATTTTGACGGTCACAACGTTTTTTCTATCGATCCTGTAACTGGTGTCATTAAAACAAGAATGATTTTGGACCACGAAGAGAAAACTATCTACAGACTGGCAGTAGCTGCAACAGACGGTGGTCAGCCTCCAAAACAGAGTGTTCGAATTTTAAGAGTGGAAGTATTAGACCTTAACGATAACAGACCGACTTTCACCAGCTCCAGTCTTGTATTTACGGTAAAGGAAGATGCATCGATTGGTCACGTAGTGGGATCCATATCTATATCGGAACCAGTCCACGAAAACTCCCTAAATGGAGCAGGCGGATACATTACTTATACTCTTAACTCGTTATCGTCAGACACTTTGGGTGATGCTTTTGATATAGATAGAAGTACAGGATCATTGGTGGTTTCGCGACAGCTAGACAGAGAGACCCAGTCAGAATATAGATTGGAAGTGAGAGCATTGGACACTAGTGCTATGAATAATCCGCAGAGTAGTGCTATTACAGTTAGAATAGATGTAGCTGATGTAAATGATAATGCTCCTAAATGGCCGCAAGATCCTATGACTTTTCAAGTTAACGAAAATACTGACATTGGTATGTCCATTTACAATTTTACCGCCTCAGATGCAGACACTGGCAGCAATAGTGATCTTAGGTATAATTTATTGAGGCAGTATCCTCCTTCTAATTGCTTTATGATAGATTCCTTGACCGGAACCTTGAATTTGGTATCAAAATTGGATTTCGAAGTCACTCAAGAATACACGCTAGTCATTTCTGCAACTGACCAATCACATAATGTGTCTGAAAGGCTTAGTACTTCCGTTACAGCACGAATACTAGTAACTGACTTTAACGACAATACACCGAAATTCGTATCACCTACTTCTTCTGTGTTTATAAGTGAATCTAGTATAATTGGTATGACTTTGACACATATAGTAGCAGTAGACTTGGACAGTGGTGATAATGGAAGAGTTACTTATGTGATATCCAGCGGAAACGAACATGGGACTTTCTCTTTAGGTTACGACACAGGAAGCCTTACGTTAACCAAACCTCTACCGTCTAGTCAAAAATCTTTTTTATTGAACATAACAGCTAATGACCATGGCACACCTACCAGAAGAGCCACCATGGAACTGAAAGTGGTTGTCCAAGATTCTATAGATAGTGTTCCCAAGTTTCTAGAGGTTCAATACATGGCTGAAGTTTCTGAAGATGTCGCGGTTGGTTCGGTCATTACTACAGTTACTGCAAGATCTGGAGTATCGTCACAAAGTAAGTTTTTTATTTTTATAATTTTATCATTTATTATTTGTCATTTATTTTTTTTCCTATATCAAGTTAATATAGTACTAAAAATATGTTCTCGTTTTCTAATATATTTACAAAAATGCCACAACACAATAGTTTCATAATTATATTACGTTAGTCAATAGTTTTTTGTCTTTGTGGCTATTTGGCTGGAGATTTTATTTTGCTAAAATCTTGTAAGAGATTCAGAATTTGTGTCTGGTACTAAAGGAATGCGTTTTTGTCGCACCGGTAGTAAAAAAACTGATGTTTTGCGTTTACTTCTTGGAGGTTCTTCTTCTTTTTCTTCTTGTGGTTCCTATCCGTTTCGGATGTTGGAAATCATATTGGCAATCATAACCTTGCTAGCTGCGGCTCGAAACAGCTCAGTTGAGGTTTTCTTAAACCATGGTCTTAAATTTCGCAGCCATGATATTCTCCTTCTACCGGGTCCTCGCTTACCTTTTACTTTACCTTGCAATGTAGACTGCAGCAGGGAGTAACGGTGCTTATTTCTCATAACGTGTCACAGATATTGCAATTTTATGCGTTTGATCGTAAACACAATCTCTGGTTCCTTCTTCATAAATGCTTGAAGTTTTTTAAAAGTGGTGTCTGTAAGCGTCCATGCCTCCGCCCCGTACAACCACACAGAGAAAACATAGCATCTCAAATGTCTCATTTTTGTATCAAGGGATATGTTGTGACTTTTGAAGATGGCGCTCATTTTGTTAAAGACCATTCTTGCCTTTCATATGCGGCACTTTATTTCCTGTACATTGCTCCACTGTTCGTTTATAATAGTTCCCAGGTAGCAATACTGTCTTACTCGTTCTATCTGCGTCCCATTAATGTATATATATTCTCCTAGCTGATAATCATGTTCGTTTTGTGGGTATTAATGTTTAGTCCGTACTGTTGACTGTACTCGTTTATTCTGTTCATTATCCTCTGAAGTCCCTCTAAACTATCTGCTATCACCATGGTGTCGTCGGCATATCTAACATTGTTTACTCTTTCACCATTTAGAAGGATGCCTTCGTCTATTCCGTAAAGAGTCTGTCGAACTCCACGTAGTATTTTTATGTGATCTGTTTCTTCTCCGTTAATTTTCATGTATACGGTCTGATTCCAGTAGAGTTCTGAAATTATTCTGAGGTCTTTGTCATCCAGGTCTGCCTCTTTTAAAATGTTTATCATTTTTTGATGTTGAACTTTGTCAAATGCCTTTCCATATTCGATCAAGCACGCGTATACGTCGTAGGCATCCCTGCATCATTTAATTAGTACCTGTACTCCGAAAAGTGCCTCTCTGGTACCCACTGCGTTAATGAAGCCGAACTGTCTGTCCGATATTTGTTAATTGCACTTTTTATAAATTCTTCCATGGATGACTCTAAGAAACAATTTCAACATGTGGCTCATTAGGCTGATTGTTCGATATTTTTCGCACTTTTAAGCCCCCTGTTTTTTAGGTATCGCTATGAATTCTGATTCTAGCCATTTATCAGGGATAATTTCTGTATTGTATATTTTATTGAAGACAGCCGTGATCCAATTTATTTCTTCTTCCTCCAAGAGTTTTAAAAATTCAGCTTCGGTATTATCAGGCCCTACAGCTTTCCTGCTTTTCATCCGTTTTATTGCTTCTTCTACCTCGGATTTAAGTATGTCCGGGCCCGTCATCCTCTCTGAAAATGGATGCCTATAATACGTTCTTTGATCTTGAAAAAGTGTCTCCAAATATATTCTCCATTTGTCTTTCATCTCTTGGGTGTCAATGATTAATTTTCCATTGGTGTCTGTGAGTTTCATTTGTGTTCACTTTTTAAAAGTACCCGTTATTTCTTTTACCTTTTTGTGTACATTAAAATTGTCATGCTTGGCTTGTAGTCTTTCTATTTCTGTACATTTCTCTACAGCTTCTTTTTCTTTAGCTTCTCTTATTTTTCTTCTGATGTAAGCCTGCATTTTTTTATACTCATTTTTATTTCCTTTAATAAACCTTCTACGTTCCCTTAAGTGAAGGATTTCTAGAGTCATCCACGATTTCTTCTTTGCTTCTTTGTTTGGTTTTAGCAGATCTTGTTTAGTTTTCTTAATTATTTCTTCGAATTGATTGTTTTCTCGTTGAATGTTATTTTCTTCTTTTAGTTGTTTAGTTAGTTTCGTTGTTTAACTATGTATACAATCTCCTCGGTGGTAGTTTATAAAATGTGCTCAGAACCAGTAGCTTGTTATCTTCTGTAAATATTTCTAGTCTGTTACCTCTTTCGTTTCTTTGTCCTAACCCAAAAGGTCCGATTAGTGACGTTTTCCGTTCGGCTCCAAGTTTTGCATTGAAGTCCCCCATTATGATGTTGACTTCGTGTTTAGGTATTCGTTCTAATATATCCTCTATTCTTTGGTAGAGAGTCTCTACTTCCTCGTTTTGGAGGTTGGGATGATTGAATTCTGACCTCTAAGCAGGGCCATCATCCTATTGATTGTACGACGAGTCTTTGCCTCCCTTAGGAAAGAGGTAAAGCCTAATCAAGAAAACACTTGGAAAAAGGTAGAACTCTTGGTTTGCAGCTTTATCGAAGTAGTTAAAAACACTTGCGAGTTTACTGATACCGTAAAGATAAAATATATGATTCGGAATTAAAATTCTTCTTCGTCTTTCAGTGCCGTCTCCCAATTGGAGGTTGGATATCATCATCACTATCTTCACTCTGTCGATTGCTGCTCTGAAGAGGTCTATAGAACTGCAGTCCCTTAAACGCTTCAACCATGACACTCTTCTTCTTCCTATACTCCTTCCTCCTCTTATCTTTTCCTGTATTATCATCCTTAGCAGTTTATATCGCTGTCCCCTCATTACGTGTCCCAGATACTGTAACTTTCTTATTTTTATTGTGTTTATTATTTCGCATTCTGTGCCCATTTCTCGCAATACTTCCGTATTATTTTTCTTCTGTGTCCATGCTATTCTAAGCATCCTCCTGTTGAAACACCACATTTCAAAGGACTGTAACTTATTGATGTGTTCTTGTATCAATGTCCAGCTTTCAAGTTCATATTTCAGTATCGAAAACACGTAGCATCTCAGTGCTCCTACTCCCAGTTCTAATCTAAGGACTTTGTTGCAGAGAGTTGTTTTTATTTTTACAAACGAATTTCTTGCTATTTCTATCCTGGCTCTTATTTCGGTTGTTTGATCGTTATTGTTTGAAATCCAGGTTCCTAGGTATTTGTATTTATTACAATAGATAGATATTATAATAAGAATTAAAACTAAAAGCACTAAATACTTTCCTAAACAACAAATATTGATTAATACTGATCAAACTGAATTATTTGCAACGTTAATATCTTTAAATCTATAAATATTTTAAATATATTCTATAAAAATATTTTTTTCTTGCAGCCAACAACCTCACTTTCATCCTGCCCTCGGACGAAACTTTTGGAATCATCTCACCAACTGGAGAAGTAGTTACGAAGAAGACACTCGACAGAGAAGAAGTAGAAACGTACATTTTAACAATATACGTTAGTGAATCTTCGCATAAAACTACCATTTTCGATATGACGACACTTGTCATTAAAGTGACTGACATCAACGATAATGCTCCAATTTTCCAGCCTGGATCTTGCTACGGATTATCTGTCCCGGAAAATTCAGATACAGCTGTTATCCATACTATTGTCGCTGAAGATGATGACGAAGGTGCAAACGGGGAAATTTTCTATAGTATAACGAGTGGCAATATAGGAAACAAATTCAGCGTCGATGCCAAGAACGGCGATATCTCAGTCAGACCTTTAGACAGAGAAAGCCAATCGAGGTATCACTTAACTATAGTTGCGAGAGATCGAGGCAGTCCCTCTTTGCAAAGTACCTGCAATTTAACAATTTCCGTCGAAGACCAGAATGACAACGATCCCAAGTTCGATTTGTCGAAATATTCTACTGCGATTTTAGAAGATGTGCCCATCGATACTTCGGTTCTTAAAGTCCATGCTTCGGATGCAGATCTTGGAATGAACGCCAGAATTATTTATTCATTAGCTAACGAGAGTCATTGGTTATTTCGAGTTGATAATAAAACTGGAGTTATTACTACTGCAGGGTGAGTATATTGATTATATTACATTAATGGTTTTTTTAGAATGCAAAACTTTTAGTTAAAATTATGGTTCTTCTTATTGTATATAATATTCAACTCCCATTTATCCGTGAGGTTAATTGGCGCGGTGGCTGCGGATAACAAAAGTCGGGATAAGCTGCTAACTAGTTAAAGGAAGTTAAACACATACAAAAAATATTAATTATTTACGTAAAGCTCTAATTTACAATTTTTAATGTAGACTTAAATTTTTTACACTTTTTGAAAGTAGTCTGTCACTTTGTTCTGCTTCTTTATGATTCCGTCATTCTTCGTTGCGGTCTAACCACTCTTACAAGTTACTACTTGCGTTCACATTTTCTTTCCGGAACTGAGTTCACACAACTTGTATAATCAGGCCGTTCATTTTCATCTTCTCCATCTGCTAGACTTCACAATTTTCGATATGTGGTAACAGTTTTTTCCATAACATCAAATTGTTGAAGACTTTACAAACGTATTATTAATTACTATATAACTGGGAATAAGCCACAATTAAAGATAAAAATACGTTTATTGACGTTTCAATTTCCACTTCGGAAATCGTTCTCAAAATACAAACAGTAAATTAAACAAATTTTGTTGTTTGTTACATAGTGAAAAATTCTTCTAATAATTTAATTTTATCTGACTCATTTATATTGACAATTCAGACATACATTATGCATTTTAAAGTAGACGACTTTAAAATGATATTGCCAATATTGTTGAGTTGCGCTCCTGGGATGACTTTACTTATACGATAGTCCATTCGATTACATGAAATCAACTTTAACTTGAGAATATCCGTCAGAAAAAATCATAGCATATAATTCGTCTTTAAAAAGACAAACACATGACATGATGACAGTAAAATTCTCCTGTTGGTGATTCCATAGTAAATTATGAGGGAAAAACTTAAAAGGATAGGAAATCAATTAAACATTTCAAGAACATTCAAAACACGTTGAGATCTATTTTGTCCAAAACCAAACCTAACAATGAACAAGAAAGGACAAAGAATAGCATTTATAAAATACCTTGTGAATGCGATCAGTTTTATTTAGGTGAATCATCAAGGCCATTAAATGTTAAAATAAGTGAACATCAATCTTATATTAAAAATAGAGAATTTGATAGATCTCAAATATGTAAACACGCATGGGATAATGAACATAGGGTTCAATGGAATAATTCAAATGTATTCCTAAAAGAAACGTATGGTAAAAAAAGAAAAATCAAAGAAGCGGCTCTAATTATGCTAAATGCCAATATTGAACGAGGAAGTTATTAATAAGAAAATACCAGTATTAGTAAGTCAGTAACATATAGCGGATAGATCATTTATGTTTTTTAAATAACTAAACATATAAAATCAGAATTTTGGTATTTATTGAAGGTAAACTAAATGCACGAACAAATACTTACCATGTCGGGATAGTATTATAAGGTTTTTTTCCTGGTTTTTCCCTCATAATTTACTATGGAATCACTAACAGGGGAATTTTACTGTCATCATGTCATCTGTTTGTCTTTTTAAAGACGAATTACATGCTATGATTTTTTCTGACGGATATTCTCAAGTTAAAGTTGATTTCATGTAATCGAATGAACTATCTTATAAGTAAAGTCGTCCCAGGAGCGCAACTCAACAATATTGGCAATATCATTTTAAAGTCGTCTACTTTAAAATACATAATTTATATTTTTAAAAGTGAAACTGGAACAAACCATGAAGTGGAGATATCCAGGAATGGCTAGTATACCTGTTGAATACAAAGCACGTGGTGTTCGTCTGTATTAAGGTATAAAAACGCTTATTAAAAGCTTAATTTTTTTTTTTTTTATTATAAAGAAGATCTTTTCGGAATTGTATCATTCCATCATCAGTTTAATAAAAAAGGTTGTTAAAAAACATTGTGTGGCCACATAAAAAACATTCGGTGGACATCTGGATTTAAAAAATAATATTCTTCGTGTTATTTATTCAGGTAAATGCAATAGACTCTTGACTTGTGTAATGTAAAAAATGAAACTGGGGGCATCTTATATGACCCCCTGTAGTTGGTGAAGTTTTATTGACTTACATTACCTCTGATCTGTGTTGGAGTCTAGGGCTAACTTGAGTTAGCCCTACACTCCAACTCCAATGTTTTTTAACAACCTTTTTTATTAAACTGATGATGGAATGATACAATTCCGAAAAGATCTTCTTTATAATAAAAAAATTTTAAGCTTTTAATAATCGTTTTTATACCTTAATACACACGAACACCACTTGACATAATTTATGTCTGAATTGTCAATATAAATGAGTCAGATAAAATTAAATTATTAGAAGAATTTTTCACTATGTAACAAAAAACAAAATTTGTTTAATTTACTGTTTGTATTTTGAGAACGATTTCCGAAGTGGAAATTGAAACGTCAATAAACGTATTTTTATCTTTAATTGTGGCTTATTCTCAGTTAAATAGTAATTAATTTACAATACCACAAGAAAATAGCTTCAGAACAATTTTTACAAACGTATTTCGCAAACACACTCAATGATAAATGATTTCCAAAATTCTTATATCATATCATATCATAAGTCATATCCTTCTTTAATTTTTGATCAAAGTAACCTGGCTCTATAGTTTCTTGTCATTAAAAACTAACGCAGTAGTGTTTGAGGGCAAAAATTTGGCAAATAGTTTGCCATTAGCTGACTTTAGCACATGCATTTCAGAATGTCAATCAACAATACAATTTTTTGTGGAAAATTGTTTGCTTTTTTTAGTTCTGATAAAAATTTAGCTTTATCCCCTTGATGAAATATTATTTAATGTATTCACTTTTTCTTTTGATTGAAGTAATGAACTAAACATATAGTTTTTCTGCTCCAATGTCTTTATAAGATTTTTATTTGCCAATTTTTCTTATGTATGCCCTTTGTTTTAAACTGCTAGTACTGCAGCGAGTTGGCTTATGCTACGATGGATTTATGGTCGCCTGATTGAATGAATTTCAGAAAAGCTCTGATTCGTCTCTGATTTTATAAATTTGTTCGTAACTTGGATCATTTGAAGAAAGGAACTCTTCTATACACTTTTAAATTGCTCAGCTTTCCGTTGGACATCACAAAGCCTCTCTCCATGAAGTCCTATCTCCTTCATCTAATGGCGTTGTATAAAGTGAGTCAACGATCCAGATTATGCAATAAAATATCCTTCTTATACCCATGCGTCGAAAAATATTTTCCTTTTGCAGCAAATATTGGACCTGATGCATGTGTATCTTCTTCTTCTTCTTCTCGTGCCACTCCTATCGGAGATTGGAAATCATCATGGCCACTGCGACTTTGTTAGCAGCGCGTCTAAAAAGTTCAATCGAACTACACCCGAACCATTCACGTAGATTACGAAGCCACGATATTTTTCTTCTTCCCACACTTCTTTTGCCCTTAATTTTGCCCTGCATGATGTTTCTTAAAAGTTCGTACTTTTCACCTCTCACAATGTGCCCCAAGTATTCCATCTTTCTAGTTTATATCTCATTTAGAATTTCGCATCTTTTGTCTAAAGTTTGGAGTACTTGCGTGTTAGTGACGCGGTTCATCCATGATATTCTGAGAATGCGCCTATAGCACCACATCTCGAAAGCTTCGATGTTTTTTATGGTCAACTGTTTTAGTGTCCAAGCCTCAACTCCATATAACAGGGTAGAAAAGACATAACACCGCAGCATTCGTATTCGTAACTTTATATTGATATCACGATTGCAAAAGAGTTTGCGCATTCTATTAAAGACTGATCTAGCGATTTCTATTCTACATCTAATCTCTTTTCTTTGATCAGTATCGTCTGTGATCCAAGCACCTAGATATTTATAACAGGGCACACACTCAATCGTTGTATTGTCTATTACAAGATTAGCTCTGATGTTCTTTGATTTCGTGATTACCATAAATTTAGTTTTTTTCAAATTAATTTTCAAGCCGTAACTGTTACAGTATATACTGAGACTTTGAACGAGATGTTTAGTTCTACTAGCGTTCCCGTTGAACTGTATCGTCAGCATACCTTATATTGTTGATCGTCTCACCATTTATTATCAGACCAAGATCTTCTTCCTCGAGTGCTTGTTCACAGATAGTTTCACTATACAGATTAAATAAAAGTGGCGATAAGATACATCCCTGCCGGACTCCTCGACGGATTTGAATTTCTTCTGTTAGTCTGCCCTCAACCTTGACATTTGTTGTTTGATTCCATGATACATGATTATGCATGTGTATACATGTTATGAACTAGCCGTTCCACCAACACCTTCTGTAATTCCTCGTAAGACGAGATTTTCATTGTTTTACTGTTATTTTTTTCTTCATGGCAGAAGAGCTTTCTAATATTGACGCAAATGATATAAAATGTCTCGCTCACAGATACCGTACTGAAGAACCGTTTTTAATTTTACTTATGCGTTCTTTTCATTAATCGTCAATAAAATCTCTTTCTTTTTTCGGACATGGTAAAATAAAACACTACCTTACAACACACGATCAACTTAATAAATTGCAAACTAAGGATATCACAGCACAAGCATGTTAAGAACCCATCCGACTGATCAAAAGTAGCCGGTCTATCAGCACTAGTTTATAAACTGTGGTAGTTATTTTATTTTTGAACATTTTCTGCATTATAAAATATATCTATTGCATATTCATTCATTGGGCTTCCAACTTGATAGATATTCCTCACTAATATATTGTTTTTGTTTTATTTTACTGTCTTTTATTCCTAATATACTTGTTATGCACTTGACTGTACCTATAGCTTTATCTAATTTATCTTTTTGTTTGCAGTATCTTCGATAGAGAACATCAAAGTGTCTACAACTTCCTCATAGTGGCGACAGATGGAGGAAAATACAATGCTCGGTCCCAAAGCGTTCCAGTCACCGTCAAAATTCTGGACGTCAACGACAACAAACCCATCTTCACTCACTATCCATTTAAGCATAAAGTAGCTCCTTACATTCAACCAGGACAAATGATTCTGAAAGTAACTGCTAACGATGCCGACGAAGGTACCAACGCAGACATCGTCTATAGTATATCCAGACATGACTCCTACGGAAAGTTTAGAATCAACCCAAACTCTGGGATCATTACTACAACGCAGAGTCTTGCCAGTAACAAAGGAAAAGTTCTATATCTGAATATACTAGCAACAGATAAAGGTAATCCTCCAAGGAGCTCCTCTGGACTAGTGGAAATTATAGTAGGTGATATGCAAGAAGGTTCTCCCGAGTTACGGTTTCAAAACGACACTTATACTGTCCAAATAGCTGAAAATGCCGAACAATTCAGAGATATTATACAAGTAGCTGCTATCAGAAGTGACGGCAGACGACAAGAGATTGTTTATTATATAGGCAGTGGAAATGAAGATAATATTTTCGTCATTAATTCTGACAGCGGCATTATTCAAGTGCGAGATCCGAAGAATCTAGACTACGAACTTCACAAAACTATTAATTTGGTCGTTGAAGCCAAAACGAAAGGTTCTCCTACATTACACGGCTATTGTAAAGTTGTTATTCAACTCACCGATGAGAATGACAACTCTCCAAAGTTCACACAACAACAGTATGCCGCTAGTGTTTGGGAAGGCAACAAAAAGGGCGAATTCGTGCTGCAAGTAGTTGCGTCAGATGCAGACGAAGGAGCTAATTCCCGTATTCTCTACCACATAGTCGACGGCAATCACGATAATGCCTTTAAGATTGAACCAGCCTTTAGTGGAATACTTAAGACCAATATTGTTTTAGACCGAGAAATTCGCGACTTATATCGGCTGACTGTCATTGCAACAGACGAAGGTGTACCTCAAATGACAGGAACTGCGAGAATTAGAATCAACGTAGTCGACATAAACGACAATCAACCAACTTTTCCACCACACAGCATAATAACAGTCAAAGAAGATACACCAGTAGGAACCGTACTAACCATCGTAACTGCCAACGATGTCGATACATATCCACCTCTTACTTACAGCTTTGCTAAGAATAACTTTAAAAACGATCTGCAGTACTTTAGCATCGATAGATACAGTGGGAAAGTTGTTTTGAAGAAACCTTTGGACTTCGAGCTGTGGCAAGAGTGCAAAATTGGGATTGTCGCTTCGGATATGGCGCATATAGCTCAAACGACCCTTACGATCAAGGTCATGGATGTTAACGACAATGCTCCTGTGTTTTTGCAACCGTCGTACTTTGCCAGTTTACCAGGTGAGTCAGAGAATCTTTTTAAATTTATTTCATGATATATTTATCTAGTTCAAGTGAACAAATGTCCATACAAAGAAATTTTTGAACCATTTGAACCATAGAGAATTTAGTAAAGAAGATTTATTGACTGTAGGTGCTCCTGTTGGACTTTTATTGCGTGCTATTTAAGTCAGAAATAGAGACAGTTGTCTACTTGCTCTTCCTCTTTTTGTTTTTATTTGTAGGCTTATACGAGAAACTAAATTCTAAGTCCTTTTCTGGGCCATCTCCCTTTTTTTGTCTGTCCTATGTCATACTGAGCGTGTCGAGTTACAATAAAATGCTGTCAGACGGTGATCTTTACTGTGACAAGCCTATGCTTTCCTAGATTTCGTCAAATAATCTGTGGCATCGCTTATACAACATTTTTACTCCTGTACTTTATATTCCCTGGTTGCGATGATAATATACTACATATTGTGCTGTTGATAGTAAAACGAAAATGGAAACGATTCGGAAGAGCATGCTGATTTTTCGAATTTTGACACTATGCGTCAGATGTTGACTGCTAATTTCAGGCCACCTATGCGAACATTTGCGAACAAACACCTGCTACCAACTCTCTAGTTATTTGCCACAGTCTGGTGATTTGCAGCTCCTTTATCATGTGTGCCGTTGATCCTCTGGTTTTAATACCTTACTCACACCGGTCCTATCTTTATATCTATTTATAGGTCATTCCGAGAATTTTTCCACCTAGTTTTTTCTGCGCGATGGTCCTATCCAGTATAAGACTCTTCACACACACTCTCTGATTTACACAGAGTTTATTTTAATGGTTTGTTTCTCAGTAATTCTTTTCTAATTCTAACACGCTGCGTTACTGATATAGCTCTTACTCGTCGCTGACTGAACAATGACTTGGAATGAGACTGGTGGCTCATATTGTTCGTGGGAAAGCCTCTCCCACGAACAATACGAGCCACCGAGTAATGTCAGAATGAGAGTGGTGGGAACAAAAATTTTGTCAGGCTCAAAAAAAAGTTACATCTACTATTGTGTCTACATGCCCAGAGGAACCGATCAACCATAGTTAAAATAAGGTAGCTTAATAAGTAAATAATAGAATTTGGTGTCACAGGCTGAATTACCAAATTTGTATTTTCTCAGAATTGTTTATGTTTTTCCAATGTTCTCTTATTAAACTTCTTATTTTATAATTTATGTATTGTCTTGTATATTTGCCTTGCTGGTAGATGATTCTTGCTTTATTGCTGCAATATATTATATATTTTTTCTTTCTTACATTAGATCTCTGGTTTTGTTGTTGAACTATGGCTTTAAAATTTTTGTTGCCTTCAAGTCAATTTTTCCGATTCCTATACTTTCGTTTGTAGCTTGTATTATGATATAGACTAGTCTTGCTCCTCTGATACAACTCGCGGAAGTTCATCTTCGTTCTTTATTCTTTACCTTTACCATTTAACCTTGTATCACACGTTGTTTCTTCTTCTTCTGGATGTGCCTATCCGTTGCGAATGTTGGCGATCATCATGGCAATCTTCAGATATTTTATTAAACCAGATTCTGAGGTTCTTTAACCAAGATGTTCTTCTTCTTGCTGGACCTCGTTTTCCAAATATTTTTCCTTGCAGGATGGCTTGAAGGAGAGCATCTCTGGATTAATTTCGCATAATAAGTCCGAAGAACTGTAACTTTCGAGATTTGATTGTGTTCAGTATCTCTTGGTTCTTATTCGTTCTTCTGAGGACCTTCTTTTTTGTGACTCGGTCAGTCCATCTTAAGCATCCTCCGATATAGCTACATCTCAAATGCTTCCAGTTTTCTGCACATTTCTTCGTTCAAGGTCCACGATTCAACACCATAAAAAAGGACAGACAAGACGTAGCGTCGCAGCATTCTTACTTTTGTATCAAGAGAGAGGTTGTGCCTCTTGAAGAAGGTTGCCATCTGATTAAAGGTGGATCTAGCTTTTCCGATGCGTGCTCTACTCTCCTGGTTGTTGGTCCATTCTTCATTTATTATGGTACCAAGAAAGTTGTAGTGTGTCACTCTTTCTATAGGAGATTGGTTGACGTTGTACTCTAATGTATTTATTTCTTATAATCAGAATTGCATACTTATAGATAATAGAGAAGTTTTTTAAAATAAACCATTCACTATGTTAATCAAACACTGAAATCATCAATATTTGTTACATTGGTTTATAAATACGCAACATAAAATATCTTTTATATTTTTTAGATGGTACTTCAGGAAGCCTCACTGACGTAATAACTCTAAACGCAAGCGACGCAGACATGGAGGACAACGCTAAAATCACTTACTCCTTGGTAGATGCAGCACCAGGATTTTCAATAGACAGCAACGATGGAATTGTAAGGGTCAATCTGTCTGCGGCCTCTCGCTACAACGAGGATATTCTGCTAACTGTTAAAGCCAGTGACAATGGAAGCCCCCCGCTACACACAGTAGTACCAGTTAAAGTTAGAAGCAACGGTGGCGTTAGTACCGGGCTGAAGTCATTGAACAAAATGGAGTACAAGTAAGTCTTTTTTTCTTTTTTATATTTTTTTAATAGACTATTAAGTATACAAAGAAAATTACGCTACTTCTTGGTTTAACGATGCTCTGAAGATCGTATAGACACTATATGGGTTATCATATTTATTATCATAAGACATTGATCAGTTTTGCTTTAGTTTGAATAATATTTCTGTGGCTATTTCTAAAACATGTGATCCTCAGATGGTGTATTTGGTTGATCTGCTACTGAAAAGTAGCAGTATGTGTGTCGAAGGAAACAGATAAAGCTGTAAAAAACGTCGTCCTATTCGCAGACAGGATACTGATGATAAAAATACAATCAACAACAATCAATGTGAACATATTACAAGTATATGCACCCACACAAGACTATGAACAAGAAGAAATTGAAAAATTCTATCATGATTTAGAAAAAGTATTAGCTCCTTCAAAGAAACACGATCTCAATATTATCATGGGAGATTTTAATGCAAAGATTGGTGAAGGTGAACAGGAAGATATCATAGGAACATATGGTCTGGGAATACGAAATGAAAGAGGAGATATGTTGGCATCTTTTTGCGTAGAAAAGCCAACTTCCAAAACGTCGGGAAATCACCAGCAGATATACCTGAACGAGTTGTTCGTAACCAAATAGACTTCATATGTATAAATAAGAGATACAGAAATTCAGTATTAGCAGCAAAAACATATCCAGACGCAGGTGTACTAATAGATCACAATATTTTAGTAGGAAAAATAAGACTGAGATTAAAAAGAGTTGCAAGGACGAATAAGCCAACAGTTACTATTGAAATAGAAAAAATGTTCAATGATACTGTAAAACAAGAAATAACTAGGATATTAGAACAAAAAATGAAGTTAACATCAAGCAAAGAGGAAAGTACTGAGGAAAACTGGACGAGAATTAAAGACATCTTAAAAACTGTTCAAGAAACAAAAGCGCTAAAAGCAAGAAAAAAACAAAGGTGGATGACAGAAGAAAAACTGAGACTTATGGATCAAAGAAGAGAAGTCATAAATAAAGATAAAAACGAATACTAGAGGATCCACGCAATAATCAGGCAGAAGATAAGACATGCGAAAACACAATTTCATAGTAAAGAATGTAATGAAATTGAACAATATGAAAAAAAAACACGATACATTTTATCTACAATTTATCTGCACAAAAAATTAAAACAGGTCGCTGGAAACAAACGGAAACAAGTATCCCAATCCGTGTACGTTAAATCAAATCTTTACTGTCTTTTTTATTTTATTCAGATATACTCTGTATGAGTACAAGAAACCAATTCGCTAATGATTTTGGTTATGCCTTGTAATTTTTAGAGGTACAGATTAAAGCAGAAATCTGAATTGGTTTCGAAAACAGTTTATGGATTTATTATCAGATGTCGCTATTTGCGTCTATATGAAGCCATGTTAGAGTTGCTTCTTAAAACAGAAAAGATTTGAAAATAAAAATATTAAAATAAAAAAGTTTCTTTACTTGAAAAAAATTAACATTTTAATTGAAATTCATTTATTTCTACGTTTTCATTCTTACTTCAGAAATTGTTCTTAAAATATTAGCATTGTCAATTGGATAATATACAAATACCACAAAAAAATAGTTATAGAATTGTTAGTGTATCATCTGCAGTGTAGTCTAATTTTTGTATTTTTGTTTTAGGATTAATGTGCCAGAAAACATCACCAAAGGATCAACAATAATGAATCTAGCAAAACCAATCAACACACCTTCCGGATTCTTTAGAATTGTCGACGGCAACGAAGAAAGTATATTCGAAATAATTAATCCAGCCGGTACACTCATCCTCATCAAAACTCTAAACCGCGAAGTGCAAAACAGTTATAATCTAAAGATATCGACTGATAGTTCCTCTTTGTCATTGGTGAATGTTCAAATAACGGTAGAAGATTGTAACGACAATGCTCCGGTGTTTCAAACCACCGATTACGAAAAAACAATTAGTGAAAATCTTCCAGTTGGTTCATCGATTGAAACAATAGTCGCCACTGACGCTGACTTGACTGGCTCGCCTAATTCTGAAATTGTCTACGACATCACATCCGGAAATGATGAAGGAAGCTTTAAGTTAAACCCTGATACGGGTGTATTATACGTTAATAAAACTTTGGATTTCGACAGAGGCAACACTGAATATAATTTCGTTATAAGAGCTTGTGACAAGGGCGTTCCAAGCCTCTGCTCTCTAAATACCTTCCAAATAACCTTACAAGATGAAAACGATAATGAGCCAAAATTCCCAGTATCAGAGTACTACGAATTTGTAGGAGAAAACGAACCTGTAGGTACAGCTGTATTTACTGTTCATGCTACTGATGCCGATAAAGGTCCTTTTGGTCAATTAACTTACTCTATAGTGCCTTCGTATGCGCAACTAGATAATTCCTGGAAGTTGTTCCATATAGATCCCACCACAGGAGTTGTTACCACTTCCACTGTGTTCGATTACGAACAAAGAAGTCGTTATAATTTTGTAGTGCAAGCCGAAGATGCTGGAGGTAAAACTACTTCGGTCAAAGTCAGGGTAGAGATTGAGGGTAAAGACGAATTCCATCCACAGTTTACAGAAAGAACGTACAAGCTCACTCTACCTACTTCCTCTGCTCTTCCTGTTGGTTATGTAGTGGGACATGTCACGGCGACTGATCGGGATAAAGGTCCAGATGGAAGAGTAGTTTACCAATTGACGACGCAGCATTCGTACTTCAAAGTCAATAGAACTACTGGCGATATACTTATTAAGAAGAAGTTGGATTATTCTGAATTGCCGACTTCTGGTAGAGAGATTAGTTTGGTAATAACAGCAAGTTCAGGTAGACAAGGTTCTTTGGCTAATATGACAGTAGTTGAGATTATACTAGATCCACTGGCAGATCCTGGCACCAATTTAGCTATTAACAGAGACGGAGATACAGCTGTATCGGCTGCTAGTGGTGGAATAGCTGACTGGGCTTTAGGATTACTTATTGCTTTGATACTATTGATAATTACATTCGGAGCAGTATTCGTATTCTTGCATATGAGAAATAAGCGGAATAAAAAAATTAATAAACCAAATCTAGGCAACGATACTGTGTCGACGTCGAATAATTACGTTGATCCTAGCGCTTTTGACACAATACCGATTAGAAGTGGGGTTGGTTCGTTACAAGGAAGCAATAACCAGTTTGCGCCTCCGAAGTACGACGAAATACCACCGTACGGAGCTGCCCATCCGGCGAGTTCCAATTCCGGTGCTGCAACAACTTCAGAGTTGTCAGGATCTGAACAGTCTGGTTCTAGTGGTAGAGGTTCTGCTGAAGACGACGGTGAAGACGAGGAAATTCGAATGATTAATGAAGGGCCTTTGCAAAGAGAAGCTGGACATAGGAAGAGCGAAGAAGGTGATAGTCTTTCAAATACTTCGGTAAGGAACACTCAGGAGTACTTAGCACGTTTGGGCATTATTAATAATAATATATCAAGTCTTCCACCGGCTAGTACTCGACTGCATACGGATCCGAGAAGTAGTAAAGCAGTACAATTAGATATTTTTGACGAAGAAGTCGGTAATGAGAACGATATTACGAACCTCATATACGCCAAATTAAATGACGTTGCTGGGAGCGACAGAGCTAGCTCTACAAACGAGGGTGCTACCGTGGGTGGTTCTAATTTAAGTACAACTATGGATCATATGATAAACGGTTACGGGGACGTGCCTGCGGTGACGCATCAGCCTTCTATGAACGGTTCTTTAAGTTCCATAGTGCACAGCGAGGAAGAATTAGCGGGTAGTTATAATTGGGACTATTTATTAGACTGGGGACCGCAGTATCAGCCGCTGGCTCACGTGTTCTCGGAAATAGCAAGACTGAAAGACGATACCGCGTCGGTTCATAGTGGGGCCAGTGCGACGTCTAGTATAAAAAGTAAAAACTCAGTTGCTCATTCTAAAACTGTACCTCCTCCTCTCATAACTAGTGTCGCGCCGCGCTCAATAGCGATGCCAGTGTTAAACTCAAGAGGAGCTGCTAGTCACCACAACCAGATGATGATGCTGCCCAGGTCGCCTATCAACCATGACGTGTCAGGCGCTACTTCGACGGCAATGTCGCCGAGTTTTTCACCTAGTTTATCCCCCCTAGCTACCAAGTCTCCGTCGGTGTCGCCACTTGTTGCTCCGGGGTTACCAGCTGCCCATCATGTGATGGCTCGACAGACTGCTTCTAGAAATAAATCAGTGGTGGATGCGGAACTGAGAATTTAAAATGTGTATTTTATAGTAATTGTCGCGTTTTGGCTGTGCTGCATTATACAGACTGATCCGACCACTTTAACAAATTTTTAAGGTAGCAGTTGCGCCACGTTTTACCGAAAGTACATTCTGTGAATGTCAGTCATTTTACCTTATCAAACTGCAGTAAATGTAACGTAATAAGGTAACATATTGCTATTTTATAAATTTACCTCAACCCCAATGTTAGTTTAAATATGTATATGTATATTTTGTAGATAACAAGAATCTTAATAAAATGCTCATATAGGCAGCCAGTTCTGCCTGCCATTCTTAGCCATAAAAAACTACTAACAGTTTCAGTTTTGTACGTCGAAAGCAAAATTCTTTGATTTCGCATTGGTAATATGATTACCGTAGCTATATTGGTTTCCAACTTCTTCTTACACTTTTAGGGTAAGCTTCTCCACTAATTAAGCATAAACTGTTTAACTTTTCTCAATTTTTCTTCCATTGAGTTTATAACAAATTTCTTAATGCTATACTTACTTCTCGAATTCCACAGTAATTGACTACTTACTTCTTCAGCCGCTATGACAAAAAAATGATACAATTTGACCGTCCATTGTCATTCAGCCTTATCCCTATTACTTCAGTACCATCTTTTGATCTGCTAAAAGTTCCCATTCTTTGTTTTTGACTCTTTTAGACACTAATATCCAAAATACTTCGATTTGTATTTTACTCTTACCTTATTTTATTATCTTTTATCCCCTGAATAAAGTCTTCCGATCTATTGGACGCTTCCATTTAACAAAAACTCATTGATACCACTATCCGATCTTTTAGAAGCTTTATGTCAGTTTATTTATTATTAACCCAAAATTGATATTCTGACATTATAATTACTTTCTGGCCATCCAACCGTTTTTCTACACTCAACATCTTCATCTGAGTTAGTAAAATCTTTCTGCCATTGATTATTTCTTGGTCTTTCTTTCAATTTTGATCAACGCTCAGACCAGCACTTCGGCTACTTGGTTGACAAAAACTACTTTCGGTTTCTCGTCAAGTTTCTCGTCATCGATTATTATCTCCTTCAACCACTTCTGCCTAAAAAGTTTCAGTTTTGTTACTCGCTGAAGTTTCATCTTTATTTCTACACTCTCTTCACCTTCATCTGACCAACTATAATCTTCCTGCCATCAATGATTTTTTCTTAAGCTGCTATTATCTCAAACTATTAGTTTTGTTGACCTCTCCGAAAATTTGGTTGCCAAACATCCTCCTTATACTACCTTCTGACCTTCTAGAAGTTTCCCGTTATTCTTTTTGAGATATTACTATTTCAAACAATTAATTTTGGTTCACCGACAATTTGGTTGCCAAAAGTTGCCCTCTAATACCACCCTCTGACCTTCTAGAAGCTTCATTAATTATTTTCTTCTTCAACCATTACAACTTAAATATGTTCTTTTTTTTTATTCTCTGACTTTTCAACTAACAATTTCTAAACTCTCTTCACCTCTCTTGAGCCTGCTAAATGTATCACCCAAATTTTGGCCAACTCTGGTGATATAATTACCAAAAACCACGGATCTACCAAAAACCTTATCACTTGAACTTTAAATTCTCTCTTAAACGCACTATAACTTTTAAACTACTGGTTTTATTTGGTCCATTGTTTAAAATTGACTTCTTAAGGCACACAAACTTTTGCTAGTGGCGCCATCTATACAGTCGATCCAAAACTTATGAAGTTACTTAGCAATTTAACTGTCAAAACTTTGGGAATCAAAAGAGTCATACTTAATTTTCGAAAAATACCCAATATTAAAAATGTTATCAAAGAATTTTGCTTTCTTGCATATTGTATGTAGGTTTTAAATTATTTTCCTTGTGTAAAAATTGTAATTATTTGTATTTTATACTTCGTCGAAAGCCGTGACAACGACCAATCTTGTTAACCGAATTACCATAAAGACATTATTGAAAAATGACAGTTGACATTTATGTTTATATGCCTGTACCTAATAAACCATCGACTGAACATTGCTGATCGAGCATCAGATTGTAAAAATGTATATTGTGAATAAATAAATGAATTTATTAATATAACTTTATTGTTTTTATTTTATTTTATGAAACTTCCCATCTAGCTTTAGTTCTTACTGTTGACATCGAAAATTCAAGACAAAATTACCTTTGGTTGAAAAACAACGATTTCTAAAGTATTGGGTTTAATAAGAACACTAGAGAAAATGAAAGACTAAAAATATTTTCTGTTAAAAAACAATGACAATTTTTCTGATTGAGTACCAGGCAGAAGAGCAAAAACAGAAAAGAGTTAGTCAATCATACGTTCAAGATTTTAAAATGCTTTCAAAATCCAACAATTTTTCGGATTCAGTACCACGAAAACAGTAACGGAAAAGAGGTCAATCAAGTTTAAGACTTTAAAATTCTCTTAAAATCCAACAATTTTTCTGATTTAATTAGTATCAGGGGAGCTGAAACGGAATGTAAACGGAACGGATGATAAAACGTTAACAAAATGTTCAAGATTTTAAAATCCTGTTTAAATCCGATCATTTTTCAAATTTAGTACTAGGAGAGCAGAAACAGAGCAAGACTTTAAAATCCTCTCCAAATCCGATCATTTTTCAGATGTATTATTAGGAGAGCAGAAACGGAAAATGGTTAGTTAGTAAATCAATTGTTCAAGATTTTAAAATCCTCTCAAAACCCAACAATTTTTCTGATTTTGTACCAGCAGAGCAAAAAACGTAAAATGGTTAGTTAGTTAATCAAATTTTGAGACTTTAAAATCCTCTCCAAATCCGATCATTTTTCAGATTTATTATTAGGAGAGCAGAAACGGTAAATGGTTAGTTAGTAAATAATTTCTCAAAACCCAACAATTTTTCTGATTTTGTACCAGGAGAGCTGAAATTTAAAATGGTTTTAGCCAATCAAATATTTTAAAATCCTCTCCAAATCCGATCATTTTTCAGATTTAGTACTAGGAGAGCAGAAACAGAAAAGGTTTAGTTAGTAAATCAATTGTTCAAGATTTTACAATCCTCTCAAAGCCCAACAATTTTTCTGATTTTGTACCATTAGAGCAGAAACGAAAAAGGGTTAGTCAATCAAATGTTTAAGACATAATCCTCTCCAAATCCGATCATTTTTCAGAGTTGGTACTAGGAGAGCAGAAACAGAAAAGGGTGAGTAAAGCAAATGTTAGAGACTTTAAATCAACTCAAAGTTTGACAATTTTTCTGATTTATTACATACCAAGTGAGTAGAAATGGAAAAGGTTTCGATTTATTAACAGCCTTTAAAAATCCGCTAATTGAGTACCAGGAGAGCAGAAATGGAAAAGAATGAGTCAGTTAAATGCTCAGTACTTTAACATCATCTAAAAATCTGAATATTTTTTTAATTTAGTACCACGATAGCAGAAACACGAGGATATATGTAAATTACGACTTAGAGGTAGTGGTTTTTGGAGGGATCGCATAAGAGCGAGGTATAAAGTTAACCGGCGTATGAGGATCTGGTGAAAGAAAGTATATCAAGACGGCGCCATCCTGATATCTCCGATCAGCCATGATTTCTATGTGGTTTACGAGAAACTCAGCACTACCAGATTATTTCTAGTCGCGTATTCTCCACCTAGTAAAAAAATATCGAGAAAATACATTATGAGAGAAATTTAAAACTTTTCGCATTCAAAAATGTCCCGTTTAATGAATTTAATCAAAAGCAAAAAAATAGTGTTCTGTTCTAGCATCCACTAGTATCCTTCACTTGTAAACAAACAGACAAAACTATAAAATGAACACACAAACATTCTCTCTAAAGGTTATATTTGAAATAACATTTATTGTATCTACTAAAACAGCATTTTAATTGCATATTTAAACTATTATTTATCAAAACATATGTATTTAAATAATTACTATTATCATGCGATTGGCAATGTAAAATTTTTTTATTCCAATAGATTGTTTGTCTTCGCTTAATGTTAGTAACATAGTTTGTGCGATAAGAAATACTTTAATTGATTGTAGCAACATTGTTTATTTGATTATTATTCGTAGTATGCAAAGACGTCTGTAGAATAAAATTTATATTTGTCGATTTTGTCGATTTGCCGAATTTTTGTCGTAATGAATGACATGCAAATTGTAGATTTCCTTATCCACTAATTCATCAATATATCTGCTTTGCAATTCGTAAAAAGCGCAGTGGTAAAAAATTTGATTTAGTTTCGCCAAGTAGGAAATTTTAGGATTTCTAATGCTTTTGTTTTCTATTTTCCCCTCCTTGTTTCATCTTATTTCTTTAATTGCTAAGATATAGGTAGTTCAAGAAAATGCCACTATGTAGATAAAGATGGACGAAAGCACAAAAAATAATCTCATAAGACTACAACGAGGAGTAAGACAAGGAGACACCATCTCTTCCAAACTATTTACTCGTGCTCTAGAAGACATTTTTAAGAAACTATACTTAAACCACTTGAGATTCGCAGATGACATAGTTTTAATAGCCGATAATATCCAAGAATTAAATGATATGTTACAACAATTAAATGCAGTTTCAGGAGCGGTAGGCTTAAAAATGAACTACAGTAAAACAAAAATAGTGAGCCGAGACCAGACAGATATAACAATACAAAATCATACCATACAAAATGTTGAATAATATGTATATCTAGGTTATGTCATCAAACTAGGAAATCCAAATCAAGATGCTGAAATAAAAAGAAGAACACAGCTGGTATGGGGCGCTTTCGGCAAATTAGCATATATCTTGAAAAACACCTTCATTCCTGTAAACTTAAAGAAAAAGGTGCATAACACATGCTACTACCAATTTGTACCTACGTCTTGGAGACAGTAGCTCTTACCAAAAAATCTGCTTAAAAATTAGAAACAACACAAAGCGTAATGAAACGAATCATGCTAGGAATATCACTGAGAGACAAGATTAGAAACAGCGAGATAAGACGTATAACGAAGATTAGGGAAATTGTGGAAGAAATTACAAATATAAAATGGCGCTGGGCAGGTCACGTAGCCCGATATAATGACAACAGGTGGACACGGAGAATTCTAGCATGGAGACCAAGGACGACAACAAGAAGCAAGGGAAGACCTCAAAAAAGATGGGTAGATGACATAAGAACAGTGGCAGGCAAACAGTGGATTAGATTGGAGCAAGGTAGAGTAAGATGGCAGCAATTGAAAGAAACCTACATTCAGGAGTGGATGGAAAATGGTTGACAAACAGAGAGATGTAGTTCATATTTTCTTATCACGTAAGATCCTTACGTCCTACATCTGCCAATTATTTAAAACGTTATTTAGAAAAATGAATTACAGTAACATATATGGTATATGAGGCGCAAGTTAACTAAATAGTACGAACTCAGCGGTTTAATATTCATGATTCAAAAGAACCTAATGTGTGTTGTCGGTTTTATTGACTGTGGACCTAATCCATTCTTCTTCTTCACTGCCTTATTAGGTCCGGATGTTGGCGATCATCAAGGCTATCATGGTTTTGTTAACTGTTCTGCGAAACAGCTCCGCTGAGGTCATCCCAAACCATTGTCGGAGATTTTTCAACCACGAGATACGACGGCCTCCCGGTCCTCTTCTGCCAAATCCATTAGCTGCATTTATTTTGAAAGATTCTAATAATTTAATATGATAGGGGGAGATATGATACTGAAACGACAAGGCAAAGGAATACAACTTACTAAGACCTTAACAATAAATTATGGACAAATTTACAATAGATATCCTTGCCCCGCATGAAACGAAACAACTGGGAAATGAAATAATAAAAATAGAACAGAACACATTTAAGAGTGGGGCAAGGGGAGGGGTGGCAAGAGATATTTTGAAGTGGGATTCATGGTGTCGGAGAAAGTAAACACAAAGCAGTTGTAAATTTTCAACCAATATCAGACAGAATATGTCACTTGAGAGTAACAGGAAAGTATAGGAAGATAAGTATCATTAATGTTCATGCGCCACCTAAGATAAAGACTTAGAAACCAGAACAAAGTTTCACGAAATTCTAAGCACCCTAATAGGGAATATACAGAAATATGATATAAAGATAATCATTGGTGACATGAATGCGAAAGTCGGAGAAGAGGAAATATATAGAAGAATAACAGGGAGACCAAGTTTATATAAGGAATCAAATAAAAATGGGAAAAAGTTAATATAATTTCCTACATAGAACAAAATGAAGATAGCTAGCACAAGATTTGAAAAAAGAATTTGTTATTACGAAGTCTTCACTTTGGCAAAATTAAATCAATCGATCTCCTCTGTCATTTCTATTTCCAAGCCCATATTTTCCTACTTACTCTTCTGCCTTACCTTGACCCACCTTGGCATTAAGATTGTCCATTATTATGGTAATGTGTTGTTTTTTTATTGTTTTTGGTATTTCTTCTAAATCGTTGTAGAATTGTTCTATTTTTATTGTCATCTTTATCTGCTGTTGGTGCATAGACTTGAATAAGATTTATTGTGTTATGTCTTTCTTTAATCTGTATTAATATTAAGCGCTCTGAATAAGAAGTACAGGTAATCAGAGAAGTTTTCCTTGCTTTGAATTGATGATTCCAACTCCGTAACGATGAGTGTTGTTGTCGATTCCGGAGTAATAAAATACGCCATCATTTCTTGTTGAACATTTCCCAGATCCTGGCCATTGGGTATCGCTGATTCCTAAAACATCGATGTTTAGTCTATTCATTTCTTGTCCAACATTATCCAGTTTTTCTGCAGAGAACAAACATTTAACATTCCACGTTGCAACAAGTTGTTGGTTTCTGCGCTCTTGTACAAGGATTTCGCATATTTACGACCAAGTGAGCCTTGTAGTATTGTGTTTTTCTCACTCTGCCGGACCTTGGTATCCTATTCCCATGATCAGTAGGGTTTCCAGTATTTTTGTTGTACACCATAATGACTTAACTAGGAGTACTATATGAGTCTTTAATGCAGTGGTTCCCCGTTGCCTTCTGCATTCTTCCGTCGTTGACCATCCTTGGTTCATCCGCCCTAAAAACATATACATACAAATACTAGAAAAGCTTATAAGGCTAGTAAAAATGACGCTTAGGAACACAATGAATTGGATAACAGTGGAAGGAAGCTTCTCAAGACAGTTCACAGTGAATAGAGGTTTGAAACAAGGGGATCCGCTATCAATGAATTTATTTATTTAACCTAGTATTAGAATAGATCGTAAGAAGATCAAATTTAAGCACAAAAATGACACTCTTTTCAATAGCAGGGACCAGTGTATAGCGCACGCGGATAATGTGGTGATAGTATAGCGAACAAAAGAAACATTTAGAAAAAGTTTTCCAGAAATTAGAAGAAGAAGCGGAAAGATACAGATTAATAATAAACCAAACAAAAACGTAATATATGGAAATGAGAGGAGAGATTACAAATAATAACAAATAAATCAAAATAAAAGGAACATAGACTGTCTGTAGTTTTAAAAAAGTGTCGAATTTGAATACTTAGTAGTACCCATAACGAACACGGAAAAAGAAAAAAAAAGAGATAGGCAAAAATTAATGAAGGGAAGCAGAGCGATAGGGTCACTCAATTCATTACTGAAATCAAACATTGTGTCAAGAACAGTTAAACTGAGAGTTTACAAGACAGTAATCAGACCCACAGTGATGTATGCCAGTGAAACGTGGATCATGAACTAGCAGGAAGAAAAGAAAGTAGATATCTGGGAAAGATAAGTGCTCAGAAAAATCTTCGGAGGAATAAAGATGGCAGAGAAAATTTGAAGAAGATGAACGAATAAAGAAATAATGAGGTTCTATGGAAAACCAGCAATTACGGCAAAAATACGAGCTCAAAGAGCTAGATGGATTGGTCACATTGTACGAATGCCAGATAATCGAAATGCTAAAACAATACTGAAGGAGGGAGAAATAGAGAAAAAAGAAGAGAACGTTCAAAAAAGAAATGGTTGGAAGCAGTAAATAAAGATTTGTCAGAAATATGTGTGACAAATTCGAGAGAGAAAGCAAGGGACCTAAAAAAATGGAATATATATCTCTGAAAACTATTTATCTACTATCTGACTAACTGAAACGCGTAAATCTTGAGTAAACTGAAATGGACAATAACACAGCAGAAAGACGAATAAAAACAAAGAAAAATCAATAGCCAATATCAATGGTATTCGATGGTATTCTTCTTCTTAACGTGCCCTATCAAGTCCCCTTGACGTTGGCGATTAACATGGTGAAACTGTCTCTGTCTCGAGCTATTCTAACTAGTTGCTCAGCTTTCTTTATTCCTGTCCACTCCCTGATGTTCTTCTACAAATTCCTCTGCGTCCTTCGATTTTACCCATCATAATAAGTTGAAGAATATTATATCGGTCTCCCCTTACTACGTGTCCAAAATAGGCCATCTTTCTACATTTCATGTTATCAAGCAGCTCGCGAGCAGCATTTGCTCTTTTTCGAGGACTTCCATATTTGTCAGCATAGCCATCCATGGAATTTTTAGTATACGTCTGTGCAGTCACATCTCAAAGGCCTCCAGACGATTAATCGTGGATATTTTTAATGTCCATGCTTCGACACCGTATAAGAAAACTGACCAAATGTAGCATTTAACCATGCGCTTTCGAAGTTGAAGTTGCAAGTTTTCATTACACAAGAATGACCTCATTTTTAAAAATGTCGTGCGGGCTATCTCGATTCTACATTTTATCTCTTGATCTGGATCTAGTTGTTCAGTAATATGGCAACCAAGATATTTAAAACTGGACACTCTTTGAATTATATGATCATCAACATATAATCGTGCATCTTGATGTGCTAAACGGTTAAACACCATGTGTTTTGTTTTTGAACAGTTTATGTTTAGGCCAAACTCTCTTCCCACTGTATCAATGGCATGTAAAAGGTATTGTAATCCATTCATGTCATCACTTAAAATAACTGTATCGTCTGCATATCTGATTGTATTTATCAGAATTCCATTAACTTTCACGCCCCATTCCAAATTATGCAGCGCTTCTTTAAATATTCTATCTGAATATAAATTAAATAACAGTGGGGATAGTATACAACCCTGTCTGACACCTCTTTGTATTTTACATATTTCTGTTGATTTTCCGTTTATGCAAGATGTCGCTGTTTGACGCCAGTATAACTTTTCTATGAATCGTATGTCGTGACTATCAACTCCTTTATCTTTTAATATTGTAATTAATTTGTGATGCTGTATTCGATCAAAGGCCTTTTTATAGTCAATAAATACAGCAAAGACGTCTTCCCTTTGATCCCGACATTTTTGCACTAATACATTTAGTGCAAAGAGGGAGTCCCGAGTTCCCAGTCCTTTTCTGAAGCCAAATTGTGTTTCATCCTGATCTTCTTCACATTTATCTCTGATTCTACTGTGGATGATGGGTAGAAATATTTTCAAAGTGTGGCTCATAAGGCTACAGTTTTTCGGACGTTGTTTTTTGGTAGTGTTATGAATTCGGACTTTAACCAATCTTCAGGGATATCACCAGTCGAATAAACATCATTGAAAAGTTTGACCAGTATTTCAATGTTCTCCTCATTTATAAGCTTTAACATCTCTGTCGGTATGTTATCAGTGCTAACGGCTTTCTTGTTCTTTGCTAACTTTATAGCATGCAGTATTTCTGATTTTAGTATTTCTGGTCCTTCACCTTCAACTAAAGTCTCCGGTTCTTCGGGTCTATCATCATTATACAGTTCACTTATATAATTACACCAGGTTGTTCGAATTTCATGTTCGTCTATTATCATTTTTTCCGACGAATCGGTTATAGTATGTGGAGTTATCTTATGATAAAGACCAGCTACTTCTGTAACTTTTTTAAACATGTTTAATGTATATGAAACTTTAATAAAAATTATTTTATTGGATGGATATTTATTTCGCATCCTTTCCACCGCTAATAACGTACGACTATGACAATATCGATTTTAAAAGCTACTTAATTTTAAATGTAGGTATAAGGTTTCATAAAGATAAACGAAGATAATGTTACACTTGTTGTCGTACTCCCTCTATATGACATCATATTGTATTTTAAATTTTAAACTCTGTTGCAAATATGTCAGATATGTACTTCGAAAAATAATTTGTTACACCTTACAATACTTGGGTAAATTACTAATCTAGACGAAAACTTTGTAGATTACGAATTTAGTACGTTTGAGCTTCAACTAGCAAGGTCTGCGTGCGCGTTTTTAATCTAATCTAGTGTTTGATGTATGAACCATCCTTGTTTTATTTTCGAACCGTAAATGTGTATCACCTTCTCTGACTGATAATAGTGAATAATGTGATATGATAACAATACCGAACAAATATGGAAAATAATCGTAGGGCTACACCAAAATACACCTGCTACTTTTGTAATAAAACCCTTGAAAATGAAACGGAGGTGGTAAGTATTATAATACTTATATATTTATTTTGTGATAAATAATATAAACAGGTACTCAAAATTCCTCTTTATGTCTGTATTACCTGATGTATTTGATTTAAACACCCGACAATCTATTAATTCCAATATCGCATCACTTCTTTTGGTCAAATCTTATTTACCTTTATTTTCTGTTATTCAATTCTTCTGTTTATTGTAGCTCATCTTCTTGTAGTAGGTACCCTCCTTTTTGTATTGCACTATGTTTAGATGCAGCATCTTCTATTTTATTATATTGGCTTTTTGTTTCGGTAGATATTTTCTCTAATTCTTATACCATTTTTATATGTAAGACTATGTTGTTCCATTCTTCTTCTTAACGTGTTCCATCCCTAAGGATATTGGCGATCATTATAGCACATTTGACTCTATCTGCAGCCGTTTTGAATAGTTCTATTGACGTTTTCCCATTCCATTGTCTCAGATTCTTCAACCACTACGTGAGTCTTCTCCCGGTCCTTTTTTGCCTTCCACCTTCCCTTGTATCTAGCCGCATCAATTCGTATTTCTTGTTTCTTAGTATGTGACCAAAGAAGATTATTTTTCTTTTAAAAACCATGAATAAAATTTAGTCTGGTCGAATTCTTTTAAAAATCATGAATAAAATTTAGTTTTTATTATCTCACAGATATTTTTTTAGTTCACAAAAACAAATGACATCAACTGATTACCTGCCACAATTATTTATTGAAATACTGATTAAATTAAATATTAAAAAAATCTATAATATCTATAAAGATGTGGGTGCCACTGTTTCCTCCATTTTTGTACATAGATCTCTTCCAACTCTTTCCATTAATCTCTATTTTGAACAACATCCTTCCAATTTGTTCTGGCTATTTTTTTAAATGTAATTTAACAGGTTTGATATCCATTCATATTCATTTGCCTTCTCCATCAATGTACTCATTGTCAGCAGATAGCATGATGCATATACTTTGCAAAATCCAGCATGTTCTACTGGTTGGTAATTATATATTTTGTAAGTCAACTGGTTGTTAATAATTTTCATAAACAATTTGTACACTCGACTGAGCAAATGAGCAGCAATACAGGTCTATAATTATTTAGATTACATTTGTCGCCTTGTGTAGAAGATTTACTAGACTCTCGTTATAGTATTTAAGGATTTTGCTATATGTCTATACATCTAATAAATAGTTCTGTTAGAACTAGGATTATTGCTGTCTTATTTGTTTTCAAAACCATGGTAATTGTACGGTCGTGTCGTGTGATGGAGCTTTATTATTTTTTAGCTCTTTTAAAAGCCATCCTAGAACTTTTAAATTTTAATTTTCCAATGGTCAATTGTATTGCACTTGTTAAGATCTACAAACTCTTGTGACTGGCTGAGAGCAATACCGTCCCTACTTTTATATAAAGTTTAAATGGATATAACGTTATAGCTCATTAACTCATCTGTCATGTTCTTGATTAATTGTCCTTTTGTGTCTACATTTTTTGCATATTAAATTACTTTATCGGCTATTCGAATTTTAAGAAATAAACAAACAATAAACTATGTGATGAAAGTGAACCCGCATAGGTAAATTGCATAAAATGTCTCTGAATATAATAATATCGATTGCACTAGCTGTACTTGAGTTCCATAAAAATTATCACTTAAACTATGTCAATTCTACAATTTGGAGAGATTACATCATGTCAAAAAGTCTAGATAAACTATAATCGATTGACAGATTTGGAAGATATAATTTATTTTGTAAATAAAACACTAAAATCCAAACAGTGATCTAAATTTTCACTGAATTTAATCGGAAACACTTGATAATGTTTTGATGTCATAGACATGGGCGTTAACTAACGATGCTATAAAGAAGGTACTCATAAAGCAGTATTTCCCAAGTCTTCGTAAAAATCTCAACGATAAATTAAACAAGGTGTTACTCCGTCTAAACATATGAACTTTATTAAACAAAATCACCATTTTTTAGGAACATAAATATTTTCTTTAAAAAAAAGTTTTATTTTAGGATTCTCTTAACAATGGCTTAATTCTTTAGCTTTCTTTATATCTAAATCTTTTTCTTTTCTTCTATCTAAATATTTTTTTATCAACTATCAAAAGTTAATAGAACATAAGGGTGTTGGAATTCATCATCAACTATTTTCTCACAACAAGAGTCTATTTCCTATCTCTCCAATTCAAAAATGGTCTCGAATTCATAATTAATAAGCCCAGTTAATAAATCTGAACTGATCCAAATAATCAGTAGCATCAAAAGCAAATCGTCCTGTAGTACTGATGGACTATCTATAAAAATTTTCTTAAATGTCCCAAAAATGTGTTGGACGTCCTGGTCTCACTAATGACCAACGATTCCTTTGAAAAAGGTCTATTTCTAGAGTGTCTAAAGACAGCCATTAATATTCGTCTATCACAAAGTCAGTTCGTCTTTTTATCTAATAAATGCACTAGTGATGCCATGTTTTCTGTACTATCTGAGGCCTTTTAAGCACTAAACAATAATCTTTACACTGTCACTGTTTTTTGTGACTATGACATAGCACGATTGTGTAAATCATGACATGTTGACAAAAAACTAAATTTCTACGGAATTCGAGGTATTTCTTTGAATTGGTTCCAATCTTACTTGAGAAATTATCCTATGAAGGAGCTCTTCAACCCTTGCTTACCAATAACAGCCAGATCAGTATCGTTGGTTGATCAAATAAGAAAGTAGCCTCAGCCTGCTATGCAATAAGATCTGTTTCGAAAAAAATCAATCCAATGGCATTTTCCAAAATAACATATTTTTCTTTGTTCGAGTCTTATTTTCAATATGGTCTATTTTTGGGTTCTAGAACAGCTGCCAATCTGATGATATTTTAAGGTGGTGTAAGTCATGTTATGTGCATTATGTGAAATAAAAGGTTTTGTTAAAATCTTTATAATAAATTACACAACAGATTATTAGCACTTTTTTGTTATATATTGCAGGAAGATATCTTTGTCTAAATGGGATAATTATTGAAAATCATGTATGTAGTTCTGTGGTTGTATTTTATAGGGTTAAAGTGACTTACGTTACTGCATTTGAAGAAACTCAATTTGTTGTAAATTGAAATTAAAAATATCAATTAAATCCAGTTGGCCTATATCTTGTGTTTCTGTTATTTCAACAATTTCTTGAAAGTAAGTATGGATGATAGGTAGAATGTATGAAAGCAAATCTAACATGCGTCTCTTCTTTTTCTTAGCTATAAGTCTTAGCCCAGGGTATAAATTTTCCAGATCAATTTGTCTGAATGAATGTAGTCTTCTTGGTTTTGCTGACTTTAGACATAGAGCAGAAAATGGAAAGGTCTCGTTAAGAGTTTCCTTGTAATATAGCATAAATGGTTCTTCCTTCACTAATAGAATCCATTGCATTTTGAGCCATGACACCTGTTCATTTGTGACAATTTTTTTCCTCTTTGTAATTGCTGCTTCAAGATTTTTCGTAGACTTGAAGTCTTGGCCTGACATTTATCTTACAAAAAAAATGTCTTCTTTCTTGACTTCGTGATTATGAAGCGACAATCTGTCGAAACATAAATGACCTTACCTCTTGGGTAAGATTCTGTGGATGAAAAAACAGAATCATTAGGAAGATAAGAGTGACCACTTACCATAAATTTATGGTCAATAATTTTGGTCTTATCACTGCTTTAAAGCCATCTCATAAAACACAATTCAAACTTTCAATTTCGATTCTGACCTGTGTAAGTGTCACTATACATGGTGACATGTTCTGATGCTGTAGTAATATGTTTTCTAACAGAGAGCTTATTTCTTGCGAACCACGTGAAGCAATTGTCTCATCCCATGTGTACATAAAGCCTAAATCGGTTGATAGCTAAATCGGTTAATAGCATGACATTCTAGATTGTAGACGTACAAGTTTCCTTTCTAATAAGTCACAAAAGTTGTGAGAATAGGAAACGGTAGAGCTTTGTGCAGGTCAAAAGTGAAGGCATAAAACAATCGATCTTGCTTTGACTTTTCTGCATCTAATTTCATAGATGTTCTAGCAGCCGCTGCCTTTCGAAGATGAAGTTGATGTTGTACTTCCAAGTTGTGTCTTGCTGTTCCATTTTCTAAAATGGACATTTCTATTTTGTGCTTGTCACATTTTGAACACGTGTCTTTAGGTGGCGCATGAAAGTGCAAGTTGAAGTCATTGTTAAAGCATCTACGGTAAATTGGCTCTTTAACAGATAAAATATTTTCCTCTGTGCAGTACTCCGTACTGACGTACCAAGTCACCTAGGACTCGATAACATGGAAAGAGTCTCACCAGAGCTCAATCCTTTTGATACCGTAGTTATCTGGGATGAGTGAATTTTCCCCTTAGAGGGAGTGTGAGCCGTATGGCTAAATCTAGATAATAATGACAACACAATAAGAAGAATACAGTAAAAATATGTATTAAATTGTACGCAAAAAGTTTAACTTTACCTGAAGAGTCAGAAATTTCAGATTGTGAAGATTCATAATCATCACTAGATCCTGCATTTTGAAATATACTTGGTTCGCTATTTGTATCTTTATCAGATTGAGTATCCACCTTCAACAAAATACAATGTTGCTGTGGTTGATTTACAAGTACACCTCACTTCTCACAAACAGTTGCAGGAATAGTGGTGTATGTCTGAGTTGCAACACAAAATTTCAAAAATATGACTTTGGCTTTAACACCCTCATATATTCTAGAAACTGTTTGCTTAATTCGTTACATGTTTTTCTTCTTCTTCTTCTTCTTAACATGCCATACACCAAAGTGCGTAGGCGACTATCTCATTACTAGAATTCTGTTCTTGGCGGCGTGACACAGCTCACCTGTATTGTGTATTCCTGTCCATTCTTTAATCTTCTTTAACCAGGATAATTGTTTACGGCCGGCTCCTCTCCTACCTTCGATCTTCCCTTGTAGGATTAACTGTGGTATTTCATATTTTGCTCCTCTCAATATGTGCCCAAGGTAACCAATCTTGCGTTTTTTAATTAATTCAAAGAGTTCTCTTTCCACGCCGGCTCTATTAAGGACGTCATCGTTTCGAACTCTATCCACCCAAGGTATGCGCATCATTCTTCTCAATGTCCACATTTTAAATGCTTCAAGTTTGTGCTTCAAATGCTTGAAGCAACATGTTTTTCTAGCAAGACTTAATCATGACTCCTCCTCCTCCTCAGTCCTAATCACTTTTGGAATGTGGTGACACCATCAGGCCTTCACAGTTTTTTACGATTTACCTCCATCCTTCTCTGGCCTGGGCTAGTTGTTCGGCTTTATGTAACCCTTGGTTAATCAATGTTTTTGTTTGATCTACCCAACGGCTTGGAGATCTTCCCCTAGGTCTTTTTCCTTCAGTTCTACCCTCAACTATCAGTTTTTCCATCGTGCCTGTGCTTCTAGCGATGTGTCCAAAATACTGCAAATATATCTGTCGTATTTGTTTAAGCAGTATATCCTTTACTTTAAGTTGTTCTTATCATGACTACTCCACCAGAAATTCAACCTTTGATATGTATTTACCAATCCCGTTCACTGAGTAAAGAAATCTATATTATATTCGGTAAAAAAATTATACAACCATCTACCTTTGCAATTTAAATCTACAACTTCCTTCATGAAGTTCCGTAAATTTACAAAAGCATATCCATCTAAAAGACCACATTATTCACTGGAAGAGTTTTTTAAGGAATAACTAAGAAATTACAGTATGTTTATGTACAAGTAACTAAAGTATTGTTTTATATATTATTTGGGTATTACATGCAGCAACTTAAACTTAAACTAGCTCATGTAATTTTAGTAAATTTTAATTATTATTGTTATTTTTTAACTTTTGGTAAACTTTATCCATAAAGCTGTACAATTTTAAGTGATAATAAAGCATATTTCTAAATATTTTATTAATTATCCTTATTTGCAATCAATTGTTTTCGAGTCGTGTGCTGCTCTCGCAGATAATACTGTATTGTTTGGTTGTTTCTTATGCCTCAAATTGTCGAAATTGTTGAAAAAATTGTTTTTTTAACAACGTAGTCTTCTCAACAAAGTTGTATGGAATACCATGTTTATATATGTACATATGATACACCTTTCAGAAAGTCAATAACCCAGCGTTTTTAGTTATTCTGCACATATATTAACCAAATTATCTATCTTATCGCGTTTAAATAAATTTGTAGGCACATTGTTTATTCCGTAGGGTCATACATCAGTGTGCGGCAGCGTTTTGGTTCCATGCCCCAACAACTGCGGTGCTTACATTCAAAGAATGGCGTTGAAGAAACACAACGTCGAGTGCGTTAATAAAACCAATCATACTCTGCCTAAGCAAAAAGTGATGCGACAGCAAGTTCCAACGCAGCAAGTGCCGACACAGCAGATTCATCTACAGCCGGTTCCCATACAGCCCAGTCAAATACAGCAAACCACTTATCAACCAGTACCGAACTATATGGTACATACAGATGGTAGAAATATGATACCTACAAAACAGCTATCTAAAAGTGAGTATCTATTTTAATAACATCATGATCTATTTTATGATACAGAGTGGCCAAAAAGTCTAGATATTTACAATGTTGCCAGATTTCCCGTTTTCTCTTATATTACATATTAGTAACTTTGGTTTTTCAAATTCATCACCCTGTATATTCACTCATTATTGGAATTTCCTTTTCAATACGAGTTTAACCATATGTAATACTTATGGCAACGCCTAATTGTCTCAATAAATTTTTTAATACTAACTAGTTTAAACTATGTACATTAAAACGTAACAATTAATAGATTACAACATTTTTAACACAATGATTACTTTATCGAGTGTTCAAAATGTGCTCTGTTTGTGAGTTGACGGTGCCCTAATCGATGGTAGAATGCGTCTACCACATTTCTCCATGATTGTCTAGAATGTATTCGAGATTTATTGATTTCTCGTTGCCTTAGTTCTGCAAGACTTGCTGGTTTAGTTTTGTAAACTGAATTGTTCAAGTTTCCCCAATAAAAATAATCTTTGAGATTGAAATCAGGTGAACGCGAAGACCATTCAATTCTACCTCGTCTACCGATCCATCGTCCTGGAGATATCGCTTCTAAATAACCCCGAGCATTTACCCCAAAATGAGCTAGAGCTCCATCTTGTCCTTATCTAATTAAAATTGGCACCAAACAAGTTTATTAGTGTAGGTACAATTTGATTTCTAAGTAATATTTCGTAACTATCTAAAGTTAAATTTCCTTCGATAAAAAATGGCCCAATTAACCGAGTACCTGCTATATCTGGCCCCACATTTAGTTTTTGTGGTTTTTGAGTTTGGTTTTCACGCATTCAGTGTGGATTCACGTCCCTTTGGTACCTTAAATTGTGTCTATTTACACTTCCACACAGTGTAAAGGTTGCTTCATTGAAAAAACATTCTGTTAACGAAATTTTTATCCTTTTTCATTTTATCCATCATTACCTCAGTAAACTCTAATCTACGATCGAAGTCATCTTCACTTAATTCTTGCAATAAGTTAATTTTGTATCGTTTAAAAATATTCTTATGTAATACACGTAAGATTGAAGAACGACCTACCTCATGTACTTGTGCAACCCTGCGTGAGGATGTATGGGGATCTTTAACAAAACTTTGCATTATATCTAGTTTTGTTGTCATCCATAACTCTTTTTGGTTTAACTGATCGGTATCTATCTAGTAAATTCGTAATTCGTAATTCGTAAATTGTAAATTGCTTGTCATAATTTTACAAAATTTGGTGTAAATGTTCGGCGATATTTAGAAGAGGTATTTCCCGGATGATGGATTGGTAGACGAGGTAGAATTGAATGGCCTCCACGTTCACCTGATTTCAATCCTAAAGATTATTTTTATTGGTGATACTTGAAAAATTCAGTTTACGAAACTACACCAGCAAATCTTGCAGAACTAAGGCAACGAAATATCGAAGAATCTCGAATAATTTCTCGACAATCATGGAAAAATGTTGTAGACGCATTCTACCATCGATAAGGTACTGTCAACTCACATGGAGCACATTTTGAACACTTGATAAAGTAACCATTATGTTAAAGAATGTTGTAATTTATCAATTGTTAGATTTTATTGTAGTTAAAAATAGTTATTATTAAAAAATTTATTAAGACAATTATGCGATGCCAGACTTTATGTTTTAAGTATTTAAGATCTTCCAAACCACATAAAATCATAAGTGTTGCGTATGTTTAAACTCGTATTGAATAGGAGATTCCAATAATGACTGAATATACCGGGTGATGACTTTGAACAACCAAAGTTACTAATAATATAAGAGAAACGACAAATCTGACAACATTGCAAATAATAAATATTTAGTGAAAAGACAGCAAATATTTGATTTCACGCAAAAAGCACCTTTGTATCTGTTGATACGTATTTCGACCTAATAGGTCTCATCAGAACAATTATTCAAAGCTGTTCTCAACGTGAAAGATAAATTTTTTCTGTCTTTTAAGAAGCAATACTAAAATGGCTTCAATACGGACGCAATAGCGACATCTGACAATAGAACCGTAAAATGGTTTCGAAACACAATTCAGATTTCCGCTTTAATCTGTGCTTTCTAAAAATTGCAAAGCAAAACAGACTTTGATAAAGGTGTTGAAATAGACGTGGGGAATCTAAAATTTGCATTCCACGACACATATTTTCAACTAAGCAGAAATCCTTAGCGAATTGGTTTCTAGTACTCGTACAGAGTATATCCGAATAAACTGAAAAGACAGCAAATTTATGATTTCACGCAAAAAACGCCTTTGTATCTGTTGATACGTATTTCGACCTAATAGGTCTCATCAGAACATCAGGCCTTTGAATAACTGTTCTGATGAGACCTATTAGGTCGAAATACGTATCAAGAGATACAAAGGCGCTTTTTTAGTGAAATCAAATATTTGCTGTCTGTTTTTACAACAAAACAACATGGATTTGTCGCTGGTCTACACGATCTAAAGAGTCTTAAATTGTTCTACACGATCAAGACAGAACTTTCTACCAAATAGAGTTTTTGAGTGCTGAAATAACCATAACATTGTCTCTACTTTCTAATATTCATTGCCATATACAGTTCCCTAGTAAGTGTATTTAGTACTGTAGTCGTCTCCCGCAAGACCTCCCAACTAAAACGCTTATCTTAGTAAAACAGCATTCACTTGGTTGTAAAAAAAAGGGGGACATCAAACTTCGCTGTATTTAAAGCGTTCTACAAATATTACCGGAGCTGTACATTAGTTTTTTTTCTTAAAATATATATTACTTGCATTTATATTAGAAATATAAATTAAAGGGAGACAAAATAAAGAACCGCACATTTATATAATAAGACATGATAACATAATGATATATAATCTTTATCAAAGAATAGATAATATGCTGTTTAATAAATATCTTTGAATGTTATTTGTACTTTATTATTTATTGTTCTGTTGTATTATAGTACTGTTATTTGTTATTTATTACTTGTACGCTACATATATAATCTGTATCATAACACAAATTTTCTTTTTTTAGATATCGATGAGATACTAAAGAATGACAACAAGGAAGAACTCTATAAGCTCTCTAGAAAACTTGCAGATCTCGAAAGCCGCTTTCACTTCCAGCAAAAAAACCAAAATCAAACGTCTGTTTCGCTACAAAACTTCGAAAATTTAAAAACTTCCCAGCTACAGCTCAACTTAGATATAGAGAAGCTAAAATACCAAACTCAAATTGCGTACGATTGGAGAACGAAGACTGACACAATCATTAGTACTTTACGACTAAATATATCAAGTGTAGAGAATTATAAAAGGGAAATCGATTCGAATTTGATGAGTTTACAGAACAGAATGATGCTTATGGAGAAATTGCAGGACCAAATTAGTTACCTGAAGGATAGTTTTTTACGGGAACAAGCTTATAACAGACAAGTCGATATGGATTTCAACGAAAAACTCGAAGAAGTAAAGAAGTTGTTGGCTCAAGAGAACGCGAAGAGTGTAGCTATACTGGGAGACCTTAAAGATAGTGTAGATGGTTTAAGACAAGACATGGAAGGTGCTAAAGCCAGATTAGAGGACCAAGGAATTCAATTTACAAATATTATCTACGATTTAAGAGGGGTCGGCCTAATTGCAGATGAAGCTAACAAGAAAATAGAGAAGCTGGAAGAGGATTTTACTGAATTAAAAAAGCAAATGACTCAGATGAAATTGGATATGGAGATTTTAGAGAGTTTGAGTGGTTCCAGCGATTTTAGACCAAAACCCGGGAGGTTGCTGTGGAAAATTACCGAAGTTGATACTAAGATGGTGCAAGCAAAACAATCTAATAGTGTTATAAAAAGTCCCATATTCTTTACTCATGAATATGGGTATCGTGTTCGAGTGAGTATTTTTTTTATAGCTTTTTTACTCTTTATTTTTGCTTAAAACAATTTCTTATTTCCGATAAAATCTGATAATTAATAATAGTAGGAGATCGTACTGCAAGATCACTATGTTCAAAACGTTTCGTAATCCAGCGACTTAAGTATAATATTATTTTATCGAAAACAGTGTCTTCCATTTAGTCCAAATTCCACATTTTCTCTTTTTCCTTGATCCCATGGGCTACGGCATTAGCCCAATGTTATCACTCCATCTTTTGCGTGGTCGCCCGATACTTCTTCTACCTTTTGGTGATTTGTCCCTCGCTATTCTGACTAATCGGGTCTCTTCCATTCTGTTTATGTGTTCGTTCCATTCCTTTTTTCTGTTCAGTGTCCACTCATTTATTTCTGGTATATTGCATTTTCTTCTGATCTCTTCACTCCTCATTCGATCCCTCAGTGTGTTTTCTGTAATTCTCCTCAGTAAACGCATCTCCGCTGTTTCTAGTAGTTGCTGAGTTTTGGAGGTACCCGGTCTTGTCTCTGAAGTGTATGTCATTATTGGACTTATTGTTGCTTTGTAGATTCTTGATTTCGTAGTCTTTCTAGTATTAATGTGGGGATTGCGCCATATCGTGTTATTAAGACAACCTGCTATTTTATTAGCCTTTTGTACTTGATTTTTCACTTCCTTCTCCACATCTCCGTAGCTAGACAGTGTAATTCCTAGGTAATTTGTCTCCATTACTTGCTCAATGCTGATACCGTCGATTTTCAGTTTACATCTAATTGGTTCTTTACTGATTACAATTGTTTTAGTTTTCTGTGTAGAGATCACCATATTAAAGTCCTTTGCCCTTGTGTTGAATCTATGGGTTAGTCTTTGTAGATCGTCTTCTTTGGATGCAATTAGGGCCGCATCATCTGCATAGCAGAGTATTCTGATTTCTTAGTTCCCCATTTTGTATCCTCTTCCTTTATTAATAGTATTGATAATTTCATCTATGATTAGATTGAATAGCGTTGGACTAAGCGAGTCTCCTTGTCTTATTCCATTGCCCATATCTATTGGATCTGTAAGCTGGTCATCTATTCTGACTTCCATATTGTTATCCTGGTAAATGTTCTCTATTGTTTTTATAACGTTTAGTGGAATTTCTCTATCGTAAAGAAGGTGAATTACATCTTTAAGCTTTACTTTATCGAACGCTTTCTTCAGGTCTATTAGACATATGAATGCTGGTCTGTTATACTCTAGTGCTAATATTAATTCTATCGGATTTAATTGGTAATGGCAAAGAGAAAATGTTGATTTTGCAATTTTAATATTTAGTGAAGCAGGCCGTAACTACCATGAAGCTGTGAGAATATTTAATAAACGTTTTCCGAATCGTCCAATCGATCGACATTACTATAGACTACTTGTCACCAAATTTTGTGAAACTGGTTCTGTCGAAAACAAAAAACGGGATGGTAGGAAAAAGACTTCTGAGGAAAAGCAAGTAGATATTTTGTCTTAATTTGTAGCATATTTCTAATAAATCCCTCCAGTTCAACTAGAAATGTTGCTCGCGAATGCGAAGTAATTCACAGGACCGTCTTAAACATTTTAAAAAAGTAAAAACTTCATCCCTATAAGATGAAAATGGTGCACGAATTGACAAATGATGATGATCCAGATCGACGTTTACAATATTATGAAACTGTGGATAATAATATTTCACAAGATCCAAATTATTTAACATATTTGTTTTTCCTATGAAGATGCATTCTATTTAAAAGGTCATGTATGTACATCGACATAACGTAAAATATTGGTCTGAGTAAAACCCTCGATTGTTTCTAGAGTGTCATACTTAATTTCCCACCTATTAAATGTTTGGGCAGGTATACTAGGGGATCACATTATAGGCCCTTTTTTTATCGAAGGCAATTTAACGTGGGAAAGCTTTCTTAATCTATTGGAAACACAAATAATTTCTGCAATTAATGATGTGCTTAGGTGAATTCACCCAAGATCTTGTTTTTCAGCAAGATGGAGCTACATCTCATTACGATGCTCGCGTTTGAAATTTTTTAAATAATTTGTATCCGAGAAGATAGATTGGATGTCGTGGATGCATTAAATGGGCACCAAGATCACCAGATCTTATTCCTCTAGATTTTTACCTATGGGGTTACCTTAAATACAAACTGTATGGGAGCCAGTTGACGACACTTGATGAACTCCGTCAAAGAATAATCGAAGAATGTAATAGGATTGATATGCAGACCATACAAAGGGTTAGAGAGGCAACGAAATAAAAAATCTACTTCTACCAGGAAGTAAATGGAGAACATTTCGAGCATCTCTTGCAGTAATTTAAGTTTTCTTTAGGAAAATTTGCCAGTTCCTTTAATTTTAAAGATGTAATTTAATACATTATTTTTTGTATATTTTATTTTAAATAAAACCATTATGCCATACAAAATTTCAAACCTATACATTTTTGACTTCTTCTTTTCAAACCCTTTCCAACGAACTTTTGCACGACCCCCATTGCTATTTAAAAAATCTGAAAGTAGCTGTCAAGTGAAGGGGATGAAAAGGGTGAAATTTTTTTTTATATTACGTTATAAAATACCTCTATTAAAATAAGAATTGACGGGTCCAAGCGATTTTCATCTTTGTCTTAAATAACGGAGTTCACTAGGGAGGATAAGACTTAATATCCACACTGTATAAAAAAACATGCCTATACGTTATGTGAGGCGTTATACAGTAAAAGTAGTAATATTATAGTGAAATCTCAGACTATAATAATTAGTAGAAATATTGTTAAAACTTGCTTTTATATTTTTAGATATTAATGTATATGAATGGACTAAAAAAGTGGAAAGATAGATATGCCCTGTTATGCGTACATGTCCTAAAGGGCGAATATGATATGGTTTTAAATTGGCCTTGTCATATTGAAGGATACGTAACGTTAAGGCCAATAAGTGACGCAGCCGCAGTAAGTATAATATATTTAGAAGAAAACTCTCTTTGACAAACATTTTTATCAACCCTTAACAGAGTGAAAGATATTATCGTAAAGATTTTTTAAGCGAGACAAATTTAAACGTGGAATATTTCGTTTTACTTTTATTTACTTTTATTAAGAACGTGAATTCGATTCCGTCGATAGTTATCTTTGAACAATAGTTTCTTGAGGGGTGTTGAGGGCGTTTATAAAAAACTTGAGAATTGCAAGTAACAGTAAATAATACTAAAACGACCAGTAGGTATTGAACATGAGTTAACAGGACCTCGTCACAGGAGGTATTTAAATAAAAAGGATCTTATTGTAAATAAAAAATTGATAAAATTCTGAATTTCTCCTTCGATAGTGATAAGTCGACTGTTATATAACTTTATTTGCCAGCGCCCGACTTTTAAAACTATCTCGAGGAATATTTGATAGGGGGGTTAAATACCAAGGGGGATTAAAACACAGCCCTTGTTTACACAGCCTTTTTTTATTTGAAACTGCTTCAACCACAAGGGTTATTAGCAATGGTCGATTTTACAAATAACATAAATATATTAAAAAATAAAGAATACAATTAGATTTTGTTAATTAGTCCTGAGAAAACCAAAAAAAAGTATCATACGATTGCGGTCACTATGTTCACTTCACGAATGTTTTTTATTGTTGTAGGTTACTATTCATATTGTCTTTCAAATGTGATGTACTGTTAGATCACTATCACACGCGTAACATAAAGGTTTGGGTTACTTCTGTAGTAGGAAATCATGTGTAATCTTGGTGTGTCCTAATCGCAGTCTGGACATTAAGTTTTTAAGATTGTGACACGAATCTCCTTTGAAATGTGTTTCTTGCAAACATAGCATGGATGGAAGAAATTTATTTATAATTAAGATTTTCTAAATGGTATGGTACTCATTTAGGTTCCATTGAATAATATAATTAAAAATAGTTTAATTAATAATAAGTCTCCGGAGAGGAATTGCTAGAATCATCGGTGGAAGTATTACTTAAAATTTGTTCTGTAATTTGGTTTTTAATTCTAGAACAACTGGATTTAAGATATCTTGGGCTTAACATATGATGTATTTTCTTTAGAAAGTCTATTATTCCTTAGATATTCTGCGAGTAAGTTCTGTAGATAGTAAGAGGATCTGAAGAACCATGCGCATTTTCAAAGAAGTCAATAAGTTCTTCTTGCCTTAAGAATCCATTGTTGGAGTTTTCTTTGAAGAATTGACTGGAGCATTTGGTAAGATCTTCTACTGGGTTTCTGTTATTTTCTTGTTGAGTTTTAGCTTTGGTTCAGCGAAGTCATTTTCGTTATTCTCTTATTGGGAAGGGGGGGGGTTGGATATTATTTCAGATAGGTTAAGCGTGCTGCGATGAGGATGTATCTTGATAAAAGGTACCCATGTTAGTCTTATTGGGTAGGTCGCAGCTTATTAGAGTACTGCTTATTTGACTGATTCTGGATTTTTCTGGAGGATTGTGTAGAGGAATTTATAGACAAAGGAGCTGATTGTTGTATTATAGTTTCAGTCTCAGTAGGAGAGGATTGTGTAGAAGAAATTGTCGAAAGGGAAGCTGATTGGTGTACTTCCTGTAAAGAGTTTAGATAAACATTATTTTGAGTGTTGTTTGATGGAGTCTGATTATTTTTATTGGGACACTGAGATGCAAAATGTCCTTGCTGCTTACATAAGTAGTAAGATTGCTTTTCGATGGAAAAGAAAATTCGATAGTTGTTATCCTCATGGTTAATTAACATAGAATCCGGTAATTTGTCTAAGTTAGTTGGCGCTATAAAAGTGTATCGTCGGAAACTCAAGATATGCTTGAATTCCCTATCCTGAGAATGTCAATTGTAGTTATGAGATGTAAACCTAAGTTTTTCAGTTGTTCTTCTATAATGTTGTGCGGAATACGTTCTTGATTAATTACTACAATTCCATTGTCGTTTGCTAGAAATTCATTGACTGTCTGTTCACATAATATCATTTATAATTTTAGAAATTGCATGTATATTTCTGGGATCCACAGAAATTACTGCATTAAGATAAACTTGAATATAAGAATTTGAGAGTGAGTGAAGTAGAATTGCTTGTTTTTTACTTGGAAATTTATTTGTAGCTGATTAAAAGCTGTAGAATATAATTTTGATGGTTGCTTTACAAGTAGATTGCCAGAACTTTCCATGGTGGAAGTTCCCGCTGCTGAATCCATTTCCATGCTTGGGCTTAACAATCTGAATACGGCCCTGGTGCTTATAATGGATCATTACCAGAAGGACTGGTAATTAACCTCACGCCAAACTGCAAAAATAGTTGTTCACCCTTGATTTGTTATCGACACAATAGGAAAATCAAACTTACAGTTTTTAGTCCAGAAAAAGTAACACTTTTACACTGCACCTTTGTTTAAATTTTAGATATAAACAAAATTCTACATATGAATAAAAACAATTTCTTATTTTGTCCAAACTAACAAGCTAATGTATAGAAAGACCTCAACACAGCTATTTCGTACAGCAACCAACAAAGTCATCATAGCCAAAATGATCGCTAACGGACCTAATTTGGAACGGACAGGCACCCTAAGAAGAAGAAGAAGAACAAGCTAATATTAAATATCAATTCCACCGTAGAGTTCTTTAATGAAATTTACTTATTATTTTTCATCATGTTCCTATTTCCTGTAGTGTTTTTCATATGACCCTATTTAAACGTGTCGTAGGCTGTCTTGACGTCCACAATGCATATGATTAGAAGAGAATTGCTGCGACTATTCTACCATTCCTCTAAGTGTGTTAATTTGGTCTATGCATGATCAGTGCACAAAAAGACATGCATATATATGAAATTATTAATATAATTTCAGAGTATTTTTTTGATTTAGTACCCCAATGGATTTACAAGCTGTAATATAATTAGAATAAGTAAATTGTGTGACAATTTTTAACAATATAAATATAATTAATGATAAAAATGTCTTGTAGAAAATTGTCCATTGCAATTTCCTGTATATTCTTGGCACTAAAATAGTGTCACGTATATCTTAGGGTTTGGTTGGGCTTCTGCTTCTAGATTCTATTGGCCTTCTGCGACTACCAGAACAACAATCGGAGAGAGATGTCAAAATATACGGTTTTGATAGACACAGGCAGGTCTGAGAGAAAAGCGTCTGTTGCTACTGGAAGTCAACTGTCGAGAGGACTCGCGGTATTTTTCGGAACCACTTGTGAAAACGTCCGTTCGCGTTGGACCCATCTAGGAGAGAGAGGGTTGTTTTGTTTTGTTATTTTTAAACTGTCTGTATGTCTAAAGCGGAGGGGTTACAATGGGAGTAAAAATTACCAGGGGTCGGACCAAGGTAATGATTTTTAATATTAAGGTTGAGGATTATCGGAATTATTACAGCGAAAAACATGGTTTTTTGTATGTGCAAAGTTGAACAATTGGTTTGATCTGAAACCAGATTGTTCTATCCTTAACATTGGTTCCACAATATTTGGCAATTCATCATAATCATCATTATCACCCATACTTTTGCGTCCACTGCTGGACATAGGCCTCCCTCATTTTTGTCCATTGTGCTCTATCTTGCGCACTTTTCATCAAATTTCTTGACATTTTATTGAGATCGCCAGTCGAACGAGTATATGATCTTCCTCTACATCTTCTGTCTAACCTCATTCTCCATTTAAGCAATCTCTTCGTCCACCTTTCATCACGCTTATTTGCAGCGTTCTAGAACTTGTAACTGTCAATGTCAAAGTTTTGGTACCATAGGTCTTCACAGGCAACACATTGGTCAAATCGACAGAGGAGTCCGACAACAGGGTGATACCTTATCAGCTAAACTGTTTACCGCAGTACTAGAATATGCTTGTAAAAAACTTAACTGGGTAGAGAAAGGCCTGAACATTCAAGGTAGAAGATTAATACATTTGAAATTCGTAGACGCCATAGTTTTGTTCTCGGACAACCTCAAGGAGATATAGACAATGCTACATGAACTTCAGTTGGTGTGTGCCAGTGTGGGTCTTAAAATAAACATCTCCAAAACAAAATTTATGACAAACCTAGTAGGTACCTAGCGGAAATATCAATGTTGGAGACAACGAAGTAGAGCTGGTGGAAAAATTCGTATATCTTGGACACTAAATAAAGATCACAAGAGACAACCAAACATACGAACTACTAAGAAGAATAAACCTAGCGAGAGCTATATGTGATTTCAGTTGTTTTCCGGGTTTGACTCCGCGTTAAGTAATTTTGGTTTTTAGAAAAACCATTGTTTTGACGACGTTTCGGCAAGGTCACACTTGCCATTGTCAAGTCAGATTAGTTCTGCTTCGGAGGGGTGGGCGGGGTCTTCTTCACTATTTTAATTTCAGTCAAACCCGGAAAACAACTGAAATCATATATATATATATATATATATATATATATATATATATATATATATATATATATATATATATATATATATGTATATATATATATACCGGTATTTAGGCAGTACGCCCTTCCGGTAGGTATATATGGTATACCATGGGATCTATAGTATCACCGAACCGCAAGCCCTAATCTCTTGCCGTACTGCTCCACCATATTCCGATCAGACACTAGCATGTTCTAGTCTAAACCGCAGATTCATCTAGAATTTTAAACTGCTGCATTAGTCTTTTTGTTTTTCTGTACACTGAGCTGGGGAACGAACCCACATCAACTGAACCACTCGCAGTAAAGCGAATGAGAACCGGCCGCCCAGCCCGCTTGGCTATCTGACCGACTAAAAATTTCTTTAAAACGTAAAACTTTTGACCAATGTGTGTTTGGCAATTGGTTGTTTATAATCATTGCTGTTAATTTATTTATGGTATTTACAAGTGTGATTCCTCTCTAGTTTACGAAATATCTTCTGTCACCCTTTTTGGAATATTTATTAAAAGTCCAGTTTTCTATTATATGCGGAATTTTTTTCCCTAGTCTCTTTGTAAAAGTGGTTTGATAGCTGAATTGTTATTTTTGTTCAAGCTTTTAACAACTCTGGTGAAATATTGGGAGAGCCAGCTGCTTTGTGTGCTTTCAGTTTTCCTCCATTGTTTCTTCTTGCGTTGTTGGTGTTAACTCTTGGTTTGTTGATATTGTGGTTTATTTTCGTGCTTCTTCTGGTAGTGCTACGACTGCACTTGTAGATTTACTGAAATATTCAAGCCATATTTTGTCTAGTTTCTTTGGCAATGTTATATCTTTACCTATCTTCCTATTCACAAATTAGTTGGTGGGTAGCATACCTTTTGTTGGATAGCTATTTAATGATATATAATTGTTTCGTGCCTTAATGTTCATCGGCGAACCAATAGTCTTCAGTAAGAGTCTCTGCTCACTTTCTTTTGTTTTTCTTTTCTGCTTTCTTGACAACTTTATTCGCTTCATATATTATGCTTTACTTTACTGTAAATGTATTAAAATGTATTTTAATATTTTTGTTTCAGGTAAAACCCTTTACGAAACTCATAACAGCCAAAAGACAAGAAGGCAACGAGGAATGCGAAGAACCCCAAGAATCGTCCTCGTGTTACATCTTCATTCCTCATACAACATTATTTAAGAATAATTATGTTAAGGACGACACAATTTTCATCGATATTAAAATTAAAGAAACTAATAAATTGGAAACTAGTTTATAGGATAGGCTTATATAAATGCGGAGTATGTAGGTACCTGATGTATATTTAACATTTTTGATTTAAAAGTTTACCTACTTTTCTCTAAGAAACACAAACTGTATCGTGTAATTAGAACAATTTTATAAAGAGAAAAGCCAATCTAACCGAAGGTGCAAAATAACTCTTTTAAAAAATATCCACTTTGGCTATCTCTAATATAGGAACTTACGTTCTGCTGACGACAGCGCTGAAGCATTTGCAGTTAAAAACTACGGTAATAAAATTACTTTTAGTTTGGGTATAATGATTTTACGATTTTACCGAAAAGGAGAAAAATAAGTTATGATTTTGAGAAACTTGCTGGATCAAAACGCATGACAACTGCACTGGACATTTTCCCTTTCTGTGAGTGCCAATCCATTACCGAATGTAGGCAACCAGCATTGCTACTCTTACTTTATTGGTAATATCAGCGAAAAAATCTGTAGTATTTGTTTAACGGTGATCTCAGGTTCTTTATCCAGCAGATTTTTTTAAGATGCCTTTTTCCTGATATTCTTATTGTATTATTAGTTTTAATACTCCGTAGTTACCATTTATTTAAATATAGAAGAATCAGTGGAATAGAGGGTTTCGTATGTTTTCATTAGTTCTTTGGGCTCGCTGGACATCCCGGGAACATATTGTTGTAGTTCTCTACTTTTGGTTCAAGATGTAGCAGCTCAGAATCTAGCATGTCTGCATACTTTTGCCAGTTTACCTTTGTAAAGTTAAATCTTCTTCTGAATGGAATAGCTTGTGGTCTAACAATTGGAAAGCTATTTGTACAATTGGTCTATGCTGAGTTTGTGATATGGGGCCATATACTATTTTGGTACATCGGTCTTTGGGGTTTTTACTTGAAAAACAGATATCCGGGTTATATCCTCTTTTCCAAACTTTGCTCTGAAAAGATGGTGAAAGTTTAGGATCATGGATTAACGTGAGGCCACTCGTTTCGGCCCATGCTTCTACTGCGTCTCCATTTGCGCCCGAATTTGCATAGCCCCAGAGTAAACTGTGACTGTTAAAGTCTTTCAGTACAAGCTCATTAGGTTGTGATTGGAAGTTAGTTGGGGGTAAAAAAAAAAATGGTTTGAAGGCTTGTATACCGAGGTTATTGTGCATTTTCCAATCTCGTAGTTATTATCTCTATACCGTGTACATTTGTTGTTCCCACAGATGACAATATGGTTTGTGTTGTCACAAATGCTAAAAACCACAGACCCTGAAAAAGTAAAACAAGTTAACAAAAAAAAATAAATAAATAAATGTACTACTGTATGTAGATCATCAAGACATATTTATAGTAATGAAGATTGGTTAAAAAACGTAGAGTTGTTGTACTATAAACATCGAGCAAAAAGACAATAGAGGGAATGTAAAGGTAGTGGGGGCAAACATATTGTTAGACAGGAAGTGCGATCTTTAGAGGCCACTTTAAACAAGGAAAGAGAGTCTCTCTCCTTGTTTGACATCAAATTTAGTTGGGTTATGTTATTGTTTGTCCCAAATGTCACATGAAATCTTATTTATATTGTAGTTTTTTAACAATTGTGTCGCATTTTAGACTCTTATCATTAATAATTAATTAAAACTTTCTCGTCTAAGACACATTCTGAAAAATATTATATAGCTACTGTTGATAAGTGTCGGAAAATTTAAATTTCGCGCATTCGCATTTCCGGATATGTCCGCCATCAGAGGCCATATTTTTTGGTCTCCTTTTTATAAGGATTAGATTCCCTCTTTTGTCTTATTGCTCGATGACTATAAACAAACTGTTTCGTAGTACAAGACAAAAGCACTTCGTAGACAATTACCAAATAATTAATTCTGGTACAAATCTACTAGACCTTTATAAGCTGGTATACGGTTCCAGTACTCTGAAGGGGGTGTCACGAATGAACTCGGTTACTCGGTTGATGATATTACTCCACACTTTTATTTAATAATTTGACAATCCGTCCTTTCCTATGAATTGCATTATTTAAATATCGTGTTTGTGGATATTTTAGATTCTTTTAGTCTCACAGTGCTGTTTTTGCTCACCTGGCTAGAATAAACATTATAGAATCAAGAAAGTGCTCATGCGATAATATTTCCCAGAGTGATAATAATCACATCCTCTTTATATATATTAAAACTAAAGCACTCTCAGCTACATGTTTTGAAAACCTGGTTAAAAGTAGTGTACAACTTCCAGTAAACATAACCCACCTACTGTCACCTGTCACTGTATCAGAAATCAATGTACGAACTCATATGCATCCGATTTATAATATAAATTTGTTACAATTAAGTGTCAATTTATAAGTATAACATAAATTGTTCAAAAATCTGTGGCAAATCTGGTTGGTTTCCATGCCAAACACATTATTATTATCATCATCGTCATCATCCCTTTAAGTCTCCCTTGATACCATTAGTGTAGCTGTGGGATTATAAGGGTAGTCTACTATCTTCTGGATCTACGGTATACAAGAAAGGTAACAGGGCCAGTGTTATACTTCAATTTTCTATTATTCCCCCAGTTTTAGCCAAGTATAACTCAGGCTGAGTTGACCTGGGATAAAATTATCTAAATGTTTTTGCCAGCGCTGTTAGACACTCTACTGCCTGAGCTACCAAATCCGCATTTATATTTTCCTGATACGTATTTTATTATTGTTTTAAATATTTATTGTTGACAGACACCAAATGTTTATAAATTTGTTATATAAATAGGAAGAAATGTATTATTTGTAAAATATATGTTTAACAAAGATACTTTGTTTATTATCAGCGTGGTTATGGTGCTTTATCTTGAGTATTGTTTTGAATAAAAAAGAACTAAGAAGATGAATGACTTTAGGATGGTAGGTACTTACCACATTGTTTAATCATACTGGGTCTAAAAATCTTGGTTTTACATACAGCATATTTAATTAAGCACTACCTATTATTAAATTTAAATAAAATAAAGTATTTTTGAGGTACCATCGAATTTTTTTTATTGATTTAAAAGTTCTCTCGATGCCATTATTTATGAAATTGGTGATGCACATTCGACATGTTCAATTCTTAGGCATAAATCAGGCTGAATTTGACCAATGGCCTGAGTTATGTTGGCTTTGAGAATCACTGTCATTTGTAGCTTATTCGCATAGAACTGTGATTTGAGAAACGTTTACAAGGACTCTAACAAGATCAAATCGCATGATCTTGGCGGCCAGTTAACATCATGTCCACATGATATCACCATGCTCTCAATTCGCAGGTGCAGAATGGCTCATATTGAACGAATTGTATTTTATGCTTATTGGTTTTACTGCAATCGCATGTCGTTGGTGTCCAAATCATCCAATGCTGACCAAAAATATGTTGATAATCATTGGCTTACAGCACTTGTAGTTGACGATGCGATTAAGGATGTCTTTATTAAAGAAATATGAACCTATGATGGGCCAGCCTAAAATCCATACCAACCAGTTACTTTTTCGAGATGCATTGAATCTCATCTGCATGAGTAACGTCCCAAATTTGACTATTCTGTTTAACAACACACTCATTCATCAAAAAATGGGCCTTATCACTGAAAATTATAGTCAGTTTCCTATTTAGTTACACCTTATTCACACCAATTATATTCTTCTATTGGCACGTGTCGTATCAGTGATCAGAACACTATCTTGCGTGAACAACTGATTCACAGAGACCTACAACGAGAGACTCACACTGAATCTTGCTGAAGTTTTAACTCGCTTTAAAAATACAACAAAAATTATATGAGCATCTTATTTATTGTTGAATATCATGTTTATATACAAAAACTTTATTGCAGTATATTATTTTTGTCATAGAAAAAATAGGAAGAATGATTCCAAGTGAATCATAAAAGTAATATTGTCACTATGAAGGCAAAAAATCAAATAAATAAATTAAAACAAATTAATTGGTAAATATCTATCACTAATACAAATGTTCTTAATGCTTTCTTAATCAACTGGAGGAATTGTAAGTCAATAAGACAAGCCATATGAAAGAAAGCAGTACTATTGGATCTAAAATACTGCACACAACCAAAAAATAGGAGAAACAAAAATAAGAAAACAACTAAATCACTGTGTAGGGATAATGATAAAAATAAGAAAAAAGAATAACAAAAAACAAATTTTCAGGCTACCCAAGTCAATATGTAGGGACAAGTAAATGAAATATTCTTCAATGATATAAATGGACAGTAAATTTTCCCATTAGTCTCCTTAATTATCTGGACAAACTAATCTCCATGGATAATTATAGTAAGGTTTGAAAAAATATTTACCTTTTGCTAATCACGAACATAGTCTCCATTTCGTACAAGACACGAATAAAAAAAAACAGTCTCAAAAAACTATGAAATACAAGAAGTTTTTAATACTAATTTTATGTAGATTTTAAAAAGACTCCTGATACAATAAATGCTTCAGAATCGACTGCATACATTTCCAACTCATTCAAAACACCTACCAAAACTCAACCATGAGTTTGCAGCTTAGACTGCAAACCAAGAATTTGTTTTGCAGCTTACAACTTTTAATAATCGCCATTGTAAAGCATTTTAATGTTTTAAAAGATAAAGTTTTGTAATTTTACATCAAATATTAAGCTTTTAATGGCAAATAAAGCTAAATTATTAATTATTAATCAAAATAATTAAGCTAAACCGGTACCTTATATTACTCGGGAAACATTGACAACCAGCATAGACGTGGGTAGCAATTATTAATAATAGAGAGGTCAACAAGTCAATAGAGGGTTTTGTATCAATCTGAGAAAGAGTGATGCTACTACAAATAAGGACATCACACACAAAACTACATTTGATCCAAGTATATGCGCCAACGACGGATGCAACAGAAGATGAAGTAAAAATATTCTACCAACAAATTGAAGGTGCACTGAAAATGACAAAGAACCGGAAAATCACGGTAATTATGGGCGATTTCAATGCAAAGGTCGGTAAGGGAACATCTGGAACAATAATGGGAGATCAAGGACTAGGGAACGTAATGAGAGAGGAGATCGTCTAATACAATTATTCCAAGAAGTCTAATAATCACAAACACGTTCTTTAAATTACCTATGAGACGGCTCATACATGGCGCTCAATAGCAGATAAACAGGAAAAAGTGATAAGAAACCAAATCGATTATATGATTGTTAAAGAGAGATATCGTAACACCATCAAATCAGTTAAAACATATCCAGGAGCACATGTCACATCAAACCATTACCCACTAATCGCTAATGTCACGCTTAAGCTTAAACGTATTAATAAACTCCAAAGAACTACAAAGTTAGATGTTAGAAAACTGAATAAAGCTGATATAAAAAACAAACTCTAACAGACAATATACGAAAACTTTATTAAATTAGATACCAGCATCTACGAGATAAACCTACATTAAAAAACTGCCTCCTCGTTCCATGCAAAGGGACAATAAAAGAACCGATAAGAAAGAGAAATAACTGGACGATTGACGAAATACTCAGCAGGATGGACCAAAGAAGATAAGTGAAGAACAAATACAGTCACAATTACAAAATTATTAATAATGAAATCAGAAAAAATGATAAGAAAGGCAAAACAAACTTACTGTGAAGAAAAACGTAAAGAGAAGATCTTCAGAACAAATACAACCCATTTAACCTAGATAAAAAGGTTAAAGAAATGGCAGGGCTGCAAAAAAAACGACAACACAACTCTTTTAGATAAAAATGGAAATACTATGATAACGAGTGACGAAAAGCTAAAACAATGGAAAGCATATATGGAATAGCCCTTCGACGACGAAAGAGGTAACCCACAAGACATATCTTTCGAGGACAGCGAAACAAGTATAGATATTACAAAGCAAGAAATATTGTATGCAGTAAAGAATACCATAAACGGCAAAAGCCCGTGGCAAGATCACTTCCTATTGATATCCTTAAAATAATAGACAATGCGTACATGGATGTCATTTTAAAGCTCTTTAATGAAATTTATCAGTCGGGTGACATAGCCAATGAATGTTTGACCTCAACATTTATTTGTCTCCCAAAAAAGAAACATGCTAAAGAATGCACCGACCTCCGCACCAACGCATTTACCAAATACTTGATATGGATGTTGAAAAAACCCAATTTGAATTTCGTAGAGGCGTAGGTACCCGTGAAACTCTCTTTGCTTTCAACGTACTAGTTCAGAGATGCTTGAATGTGAACCAAGATATGTACGTTTGTTTTATACATTACAACAAGGCTTTCAATAAATTCCGCGACAAAGAGCTAATGGAAGTCCTCAAACCAAACCAATTACAATACAATGACCTTCGAATTATAAAAAATCTACATTATAGCCAGCAGGCACACATACGCATTAATGAACACACATCAGAAGAGTTCGAAATTAATTAAAAGAGGAGTGTGACAGGGGTGTGTATTGTCATCACTACTATTCAATGCATCTTCTTCTTCTTCTTACGGTGCCTGTCCCTTCCGGATGTTGGCGATCAACATGGCTATCCCAACTTTGCTTGCTGCTATTCTGAATAGTCCGGTTGTCGATGTATTAAACCACTTTCTCAGGTTTTGAAGCCAAGATATTCTTCTTCTCCCTGTTAATGTTGGTACCAAGGTATGCGTAGCTATCCACTCTGCCAATTGGATGTTGGTTAACCAAAAGCTGTGTGTTTAATGTTTCGCACTTACTGATCACCATTCAATGCATACTCTGAAGATATTATGAAAAGAGCTCTAGAGGGACAAACAGCATAAATAAAGGTCAATGGAACACCAATTAACAACATTAGAAATGCGGACGATACTATCATAATAGCAGACAATCTCCAAAACCTCCAAAAGCTAATCGACAAGATAGTTGAGTGTGGAGAAGAATATGGATTATCAATAAACATCAAGAACACTATATTTATAACGATATCAAAAATTCAAAATAATGATGAAAGCCTAACAATAAACGCTAAAACTTTAAAACAAGTTGAAAACTACATTTATCTTGGCACGATAATTAATTACACAGACTATTATTTCAAAGAAATCACAGTTAAAATACAGAAAGAATGAACAAGCAAGAAGAAGAATTAATGAAAAAAATTAATCTTTCTTGATTGACTTTTTATAATCTTCTTTTTTGCGATCATTATCTAAAGTAGGGATATCAATAATCCCATTCAAAGTGTTTACTCCAGAAGTAAAAGCAAGTACTTAATATTAAACTGTCAAAAGGATTTATTAAGCGAAATTAAACAAACATAATAGGTAGAATTAGTTTGTTTGCATTTAGAAAAAGAATTCTGGACTAGAAATCGAAACATCAAGTTAATAGATTAATTATAGCGAATTTATCATGCAAAAAATCAAAAAAGGGATCATACTAGATCTTAAATTCTTTTATAAATATCATTATATATTATGCTGCAATGAACTATACAGTAAAAATATTAGTAATAAACGAGGAACGAAAAACAAATAATTGAATTTGTCGTATACAAAACACATGAAAACAATCTAACAAACATTTGTAAAAACTGTATAAAAATATCAAAAAATAATAATTTTTTGCCGATTTACCACAGTGACAATATTCTTGAAATAAAAAAATGTGAAACTAACATAAAACATAGCATTTATTAATAAAAAAAACAACCTTTTGAGATTCTGTTACGTGAACTGTATCAACAACTAGTGTATTCCAATAAAAATATGTGCACTGTTTAAATACTACTAAATG